CCTAAAATCAACATATTCCTTGTGATAAACATGGCAAATTATTTTCAGGTCAGAGGTATGAATTCCCTGTCTTTATTTGAATGAATTACATCAGTTACATGTCATTATTTTGTTCTTTCCATTTTCATATAATCTATATTTCATATTCCTAAAAAAAAAAAAACCAACAAAAGTTCTGTTGTTTACAGAATATCCGTTTAACAAACCTTGGACATGGTAGCCTCATCAGGATTGTCCACGGGGTCTGCCCAGTCTACTATGACATCACAGTTCCACACCTTTAGTCGACCAGTCGACAGCTTCCTCTTGGCAGTGGAAGCAGATTTGTGAGAATCATATTCCAAGAAGGCAAAACCACGGTTCTTTTGGTTTTCCTTTTCTGCAGATCTATAGATGATTACATCAACCAATCCCTCTGTCAAATGAAATAGATTCCAGTATTACCAAAGTGTTAAAATAACATTAGAAAACTGTCCATGACAAAACAGCGAGTTCAAAATATTTTTTTTTTTAATTCTGAAATTCAATTTATGGACTACTTTAACTTCAAGGCTAATAAACTTATAAAAATAAAAATGTTAAAAGAATCAAATATTTAAAGTGCTTTGTCATGAACAGAACAGACTTCTTCAGGGAAGAAGAAGAGCCAAATATAGAACACAATAAATCAATCAACATGGTGACAGGGGCTACATGTATGAAGTCCTTGGTCTCGTCAGAAGGGAGCAAGATCCACCCAGAACAGCCAGCACTTCAGACTTTTTTTTCAGGACTTGGGTTAAAACCCAAGTTTATTTTCAAAACTCAACTGACTACAGATCCAAACTTTTTTCTATTCAAAATCCAAATTTTTGACACCAGTAATTTCCTGGTGTATATTTTGAAAATTTCAAGGCACCTTACCTTGATTCCAAAAACAAAAATTTCAAAACATTTTGAAATTGACTTTGGAGATACCTGTCTTTTTAGAAAATTCTTCCATTATCTCATCTTTTGTTTTGCTCTTAGGGATGTTTCCAACAAACAACCTTTGGTTAGCTACAGAGATGTTGACTTTAATGTTCTTTCCAGGTTTGATTGCATAGTTGTCAAGCTGTAACAGAATCAGGTACAATGCATTCACAGGGCAAGCAAGTTTTTGATCCGTCTTTATAAAGGTCTGACCAATTTTAAAATTTTTGGTAGTTTTAATCAATCAATAATTTTGAAGAATTTTGTCCTTAACTCCAGAAAACAAATCATGAAACCCATTAATTTTTTTCCCTTCAAAATCCCTTTTAAAAACAATTTGTTTTGAATGCTTTGGATCAGAGGCTATGGACGAGTTCTCTCTCCTGGGCAGAAGGAATTGCCTCTCTTACCTTTGTGGCTTCTTCAGCACCTTCTTTGGTACAGAATGTGATGAAGCAGTATCCCCTGTTAAACTGAGTTAGTGGGTCCATCATCAAGCGGAGATCCCAGATCTTTCCACACTTCTCAAACAAGGGAATCAACTCATCTTCAAACACATCTTTTGGGATTTTCCCACAGAACACCTACAAAATGCAATATTCTTTTATATTTCTACCTGTATATACCACATAAGATTTGAATGCCATTTATAAGATAAAACATCCTTTAAATAAAACTGGCCAGTTTCTCTGCATCAACTTTTTTCATGTCTGCTTATTGTAATTCTGAGTGCAGTATCTCCTGAAAGTATTATTTTCAGTGGCAGTACCTCACAACCAGGAGGAGGCGGGTTTTGATCATCCTCGCCTGGAGGTGGCCCACCATATTTCCTTTGTCCTGTAGTTACGTCCAGCGAATACCCAGTTCTCTCTAAAATTTCCTGCAAAATTTTTTTAAAAACAAATTTAATATTTGTAATTCTTTCATAAGACAGAGTGAAAGACAGAACTCAATATCATACAATGACAACCTTTCTTGAAGAAGGTAAGTAAAATATATGAAAGTATCCTTCATGGATAACTTACTGAGAGCTTGGCAGGATCAGGGCCCCGAGCTGGGGAAGCTTGAGCACCCTGCTTCTTGTTCTGGCGGTAGGTTTTCATCATCCCACACAGAAAAGCGCTTTTGTTTCCTACGTGTTCCAGACTGCTCTCACAAAACTGCTTCAGCACAGCGATAGCATCATCCGGGTTGTATTCCTTCAGTGCATCCATTGCCCTCTCATCTAGGTCTTCTGGTGACAACTTTCCTATAAAAATAATTGGCATGGTATGTTAAATACTGCACACTTTCTCTGTTAGAATAATGAATATCAACTTTCTTTCTCTTTTAACACTTCAATTTATTACTTGCAGGTTGCAACATTATATTTCACTCACCAGTTTCATAAATTTTGACAATTTCGTTGGCAACTTTGATGTTAATTCCATATTCAGTTAATTTTTGAAATTCCTCTGTTGGTTCCTCCGTTTTGACTTCAGGTTCAGTTTTAACACCATTTGTTTCCATGGTTAAATTTGAATTCTTTTCTTCTGCTCTTATTCAAACAAGAAAAATCGTTATTCCATTCTACAAAAGCCTGCAACGAAATACACAACCCACATTTAGACCTACTCACATATATATATACAGGCACCTTAGTATAGATAACATACATAATTCATCCACCAAACTAACAACCAAAATATTACGAGTCTTTTATTTTCTCAAAAATATATTTCTCAGTCGATTTTATTTACAGTTGAACTTCAGTATCTCGAACATGGACATCTTGAATACCATGGATATGTCAAAGTGATTTTGAAGTCCCAAGCATTTATTTCTTAATTACCCGGAATATCTCGAATCTTTGGATATTTTGAAGTATTTTCTTGGTCCCTTGAAGTTCGAGATAACGAAATATGACTGTATATGTATTTCTTTGCATGGGTTTGTACTTTCATAAAGATTTAAATGTTATATACTTGTAAGAAGCGGGGTTTTTTGGGGGCGGGGGGTGGGGTGGGGTGGGGGTGGAGTTAATAAATTACGATATGTATATTATGCACGCTTCAGGTGCCTGTGCTCACACATTTACACAACTGGACCTTCGTCTATGTGAATCATCCAACTAGCATTATAGCAATGTTTTCTTAACGATACTATATAAGCATTTTACAATTAGCGACCGGAAGCCATAGCCATGGCAAATGCTCTTGCCTATGTGACTAATACTTTTATTAGATTTGCAACTTAAAGTTCGCAAGCATGGTACCGAACACACTGCAAGTTATAAACAAAAACGGGATAAAATGATCTGCATTGTTTACAAACAATGGTTGTTATTAGTTGAACAAAGAAATCGATATTTTCTTGTTAGCGTGGGTAGATTATAATGAGGCCACACTCTGGACAACGTGCTAATGTAAAAGGGAGAAAGCGCCATAATGTTGTCACAAATTAATGAAAACCTATCTGCATAAGTAAACTGAGAACTTCAAAATTATGAAAACACTATTAATACTTACCAAAACGTAAAAAAATACAAATATACGGCCAAAAAGTCCTCAAAAACGCTACACGCGGTTCATCCAATGAGAAAAATGGCAGAAAGGAAGTGTGGGGTGGTCACATGGAAGAGCAGGGACGCTACTCTAAAACCAAATGGTATTTATGGTAAATTTTATAAGAAGATGAAATAAAATTTATCGAGTCTTTCAGAAAATTTCAACAAAATATTATATGAATGATTAAGAACTTATATATATCTCAGTGACCTGTAAACTTTTTTGGGATTGGAGATTTTATTTTACTTTGTTTATCAAGCGTTTGTATGATCCCGATCGTCATGCAACGTGCCCCTTCTATGAAAATGAAACTAGAAACGTTATTCTGCATCGTTTTTTATTCAGTATCATACGCAAGAGACTTGACACAAGAAAGGGGGCATTTAAAACCATTTGGATTTACAAATTCTACTCTAAAATGCGATGAAGTTGAGAAGTTCCCCTCACCCGATGTATTTTTCAGGAATTATGTTTTCCCTAAGAGACCACTTGTAATGAGAAATGCAGCAAAAATTTCCCCAGCTTTTAAATTGTGGACAGACGATTATTTTCTTCAAGTTCAGGAACCAAGAGATCATGTTGTGTCAGTGGAAACCGAAAAGAAGGAAAATCGCAAGCAGGATGTGCATGACATGCCCTTTACAGAATTTGTTGGCAGTTACAATAATTCAGGGATATACATGGTAAACCCGGTACCAAAATTCATTAGGTGTGTTATTATCTTTCATTTATTTATAATATATGAGACACAGAAACCTTAAGCACAGTTTTCTTGATAATGAAATTGAAAACCTTCCAATTAACAGATCTACCTTTTTTGTGCATATTCCTAACATTTTTTTGAAATTTTTGTGCTTATGTTTATATTTTTGTGTCTCATTTATGAGGATTTTTTTTCACTATGACTTTTATGTCTTCAAGGGGATTTAAAGTTACATTTATTTAAACTTACTCCGAAAAAATGAAAGAAAAAGCCAAGGTGTTTTTAGGTTTTTTATTTATGTGTTGCTGAGAGAAGTTATGAGATACAAAGGCTTGTTGAATGATGATGCATTTGTCAGTTTTTTTGAAGAGAGATCCTCTAAAATTCTCTTTTTTTGGAAGTGAATTTTTAGAAGCATGCTATCATCTAAATCTTTTTTAAACTTGAATGTTATTTTCCCTTGCAGTCATTGACAAAATTATATCAATATTAAGGTGTAGCCAACAACAATATTGATATTTTTCTAGTTAAAATCAAACCAACCATCTAAAAAGTCCATAACTGTTTGTGTTGATAGTTGTTGTTGCTGTTGTTTTTTTTTTTTAAATAAATTTTCTAACACCTGTTATCATCATAAAAACTACATAATTAAGAATTATTATAGATACCTGACAGCTAAACAAATTTAATATCTATTGGTGTAAAAACTTATGATCTTTTAAGCATTTTAGAGAAATGATGGACTTTACTTTCAAAATTGATACAGATAATATGAATCTTTACAAAAATTTAAAAAAAAAAAAGTAGTACTGGGGTCTTACCAAACTTTAAAAGTTGTACATTTGTTTTCCTATCTATTCCTTCTGTGTTCTATATCCTCTAGCTGTTGCAGCCATTTTTTACAATGTTGTTTGAGGTGTCATTTGTGATGTCACAATTACCTATGCGTGTAAACTGTTCCTTTAGTTCATAATGCTTCAGAAAATGGACAACATGGAGATTCATGTACTTTTTTCATTTGCATCGACTTGTAGTGATTATATATGATAAAAAGTATTACAAAATGTCATTTAAAACACCATATACATGTAATGAAACTTTATGTTATACTTTTATGTAAATTGCTTGAATTTGATTCCTTTAGAAACGTTTGATAAAATACATTGTTATACCTTTAAAAATTGTTTCCTGTGTAATTGTATACTAAACAAGAGGCCCAAGGGCCTTAACGGTCACCTGAGTATAATACAACAATTTAGAGGATCCATAGAGTATAAAATGACCTGAAAGGTGAAGCTTTGTTGCCCAAAACACAGGCACTAGGGGTATGGACCGCCCCCCCCCCCCCCTTCTCCATTTTTTTTCTTTTTAAATCTGGGGTCGAGTCACCTTTTTCCTATTTTTATATCCTAATATGTACTATATGTTATCACTAATGTAACTCTTTTGTCTCTATATGCTGTTTTTAAATATACCGTTTTCGACTGATACATAAAAAGAGAGTATCAGTTGAAAACGGTATATTTAAAAACAGCATATAGAGACAAAAGAGTTACATTATTGATAACATATAGTACATATTAGAATATAAAAATAGGAAAAAGGTGACTCGACTCCAGATTTAAAAAGAAAAAAAAAAATGGAGAAGGGGGGGGGGGATCCATACCGCAAGTGCCTGTGGCCCAAAAGCAAGAAAAATAGGATGATCAGGATCAACAAAATGATTAGTCTAGCATTCATTAACAGTTCATTAATTAGGTTCTAATCTGTTCCCCATTTATTACCATCACCATACAGTATATTAACAAACTATCAGTGCTTCTGTACTATTTTAATTCCTTGTTGAAAACTCTTACATTGGCCTCTCTTGGTCTTTGATGAACATTTAATAAGACAAGTTATTTTTGTCTCATTTTTATTTATCTGTTAATTACAAGTCTAACTGATCATTAAAACTATGAAAGTACTTTTTGTATTATACAATAAAAATTCTTGCATAATTCTCTTATTCAGTTAACCTTTCTAGTACATTATTTACAGTGATTAATTATCAAAAGTAAATGGCAATGGGGAATAACTCCTCTCAGTAGAATACAAATTAATAGAGCCCTGGCCAGGACCAGAACACTTGACCAAATGGTTCAGATGTTCAAAAATCTGGTAAAAAGTACCCTTCCTTATTAAAACATTTACTCTTTTTGCCTCTGATATGCCCAGGTGCAGAGAAGATTTTTAAAGATTTAATAATGCATTTTTACTACTTACTACAGATTCACTATATTATCAATAGAGCACCCCCCCCCCCCCCCCCCCCACCGAGAAACACCAGAGCCTCTGACCCTGGGACCAAAAGTTTGCTCATTATAAGTAATCACTTTGTTTATCTGCTTAACACTAAGGAGCAGGCAGGATTATTTAATAGAATTAATGCATTTTCACTATATTATCAAGAGCCCCACCCTTACACCAGCACATATGACCCAGGGCTCATGCAATTCACTACTTTGGAAGAGGCACTCTTGCTCATCATAACTATACACATAGCTTCTTTGCTTTTTAACCAGAAGCAGAAAGGAATATTTTCAAAGAAATTTTGGCTTTTCACTATATAATCAATAGAGCCCCCCCACCCCCCTTTTCACCAGAGCTCTTGACCCTGGGGCCATGAATTTCACATTTTTTTTGGAAGAAGCATCCTTGTGTATCATAACAATGTACTTTATAGTTTGTTTAAATAATACCCAGGGGCAGACAAGAAGATTTTCAAAGAAATAAATCACCTTCACTATAGGATCTATATAGCCCCACCCTAGCACCAGAACCCCTGTCCCTGGGGCCATGAATTTCACAATTTTGGAACAGGCATCATTGCTTACCATAACAATGTTTTTAGTTTGTTTAAATAATACCCAGGAGTAGAGAAGAAGATTTTCAAAGAAATAATGCACTTTCACTATATGATCTATATAGCCCCACCCTAACACCAGAACCCCTGACCCTGGGGCCATGAAATTCACAATTTTGGAACAGGCATCATTGATTATCATAACTATGTATTTACTTTGTTTAAATAATACCCAGGAGTAGAGAAGAAGATTTTCAAAGAAATAATGCATTTTCACTATATAATCAATAGAGCCCCGCCCTAAAACCAGAACCCATGACCCTGGGGCTATGAAATTTACAATTTTGGATAAGGCACTCTTGTTCTTCATAACTATGTACTTAGTTAGTTTATTTGATACCCAGGAGCAGAGAAGAAGATTTTCAAAGAAATAATGCACTTTCACTATATGATCTATATAGCCCCGCCCTCACACCAAAACCCCTGACCCTGGGGCTATGAAATTCACAATTTTGGAAAAGGCACTCTTGCTCATCATAACTATGTACTTAGTTAGTTTATTTAATACCTAGGAGCAGAGAAGAAGATTTTCAAAGAAACAATGCATTTTCACTATATAATCAATAGAGCCCCGCCCTAACACAAGAACCCCTGACCCTGGGGCCATTAGTTTCACAATTTTCGATAAGGCACTCTTGCTCATCATAACTATGTACTTAGTTAGTTTATTTGATACCCAGGAGCAGAGAAGAAGATTTTCAAAGAAAAATGCACTTTCACTATATGATCTATATAGCCCCACCCTAGCACCAGAACCCCTGACCCTGGGGGCATGAACTTCACAATTTTGGTAGAGGGCTCAATGCTTATTACAATCATGCCAACAGTTTGACTGCTTGATGTCCAGGAGTAAAGAAGAAGATTTTTAAAGATTGCAATAATTTTGGTGGTTTTAGCCCCACCCCTCAGGCACCAGGGGGGCAGGGACCATGAAATTCACAATTTTTGTACCCCTTCACCCATAGGTGCTATATGTCAAATTTGGTTGAAATTGGTTGAGCGGTTTCAGAGAAGAAGCTAAAAATGTTCAAATGTTAACGCACATCTCACGACGCACAACGACGGACAAAAAACAGATAGCAATAGGTCACCTGAGTGACTCAGATGACCTAAAAAGTCTAACATTTCCAATGTTTTGCTGAGCAGTCATAAAAAAAAATAGATGTTTGACCCCAGAGCATAATATTGGACCTATCGTGGTGGGGGGTGGCAGTGTGGGCGGGGTCAGCTGTATCTTATTTGCATTCGTTGGAGTTCAAGAGAACTTTACGGAATTGACCAAGTTTAAACTGCAGTGCAGGTAAACAAAATTCACATCATGTTATGTCAAGATAAAAAGTAAAAGGTATAACAAAATATTTACTGACTGTGATCTCGGGCAAAATGCGTTTTGTCGACCCCTCGAACCAAAACTGTTTGCCTTCGGCCAAACGGCCTCAGACAAACAGTTTGGTTCTTGGGTCCGACAAAATGCATGTTGCCCTCAAACCTAGTCAATAAATTTATACTGTTACCCTCTAAATGATGAAACCATGCCTTCCAGTGTGATAGAATTTAGAAACAGTCAACATTGCTTGTCGACGGATGATATTCCAGAAAGAATATTGACTGTGCAGAATCTATGCATGCATGCTTCATCTTTATTTATATTTATATAAAACATTCAGTGTAATATAATAAATGCTGCATTAGTGGAGGGTAACATTGAAAATTGTCACCCCACTGAAAACCATTGTCAATCTTGGTTGACAATGGTTTTTGAGGGGTGACAATTTTCAGTGTTACCCTCACTATATGCAGTATTTATATGATATTAACCTTGATAACACTTTTTATTGCTGTTGTGTTTATTCAGTCAGGATATCGTTCTTCCTTGTTGTATGCAGTGTCCATTTATAGTGGAAGAAAAACTAGTGGAAAACGTAAGTTTAAATAAATTTTTTTTAAAAAGTTCATAAAAAATACTATGAATTTAAAATGAGGAAAAAAAAGAAAAATAAAATAAGAATGCCATATTTGAAATAAATGTGTTATATAATACATGTATCATTTCTAGACTTAAGACTAAAATATTAACATTTTTTGAGTACATGTGTATTTATATTAAAGAAGTATTTCAAATCCAGCTGCAGATGGAAATGAATAGCAAGGTGCAAATGCCAAACAAAATTTAAAAAAATGAACTGTACCCTTGAAGATTCAAATTGCAAATTAATAGGTTTATTTCAAAATACAGGAATTGCCAGTCATGCATTATTAAATTTTTTATGTACCATGTACAGACGGTTTGGATTAATAATTTTTATATCATATTGATATGCAGATATGTTGGTTTGTTAATATCTAATTACCTACATTGTTTTTTTAACCGGTTATAGATAATGTGGTTCAGTAGTGGAGGAACTAAATCTGTTGTGCACACAGATTCTGTAGAAAATATCAATTGTCTGTATCGAGGAGACAAGCAGTTTGTGATGGTAGATCCAGATAAATATGGAGACAAGGTATGTTTGTTTTACAGGTTAAAAATTTATCCTCTATCATAAAGGTTTTACTAAGCTTTCCTTGTAAAAATCTTAGTCATTTTATAAAGTTTATTTTTAGAAGAAATTCAAAGACAATTCCATATCCTAAATAAAACACTTGAACCCTATCACCTGTCAGAGGTCATACTATAATGTATAGAGGTATCTATACATTACATCATCCCTCCTTTTGACTGTAACCAGCTGTCAAAGGTCTCCATACATAATCCCTTCTCATTGGCTGTTACCAGCTGGCAGTGGTTTATATACATTTATATTGGCAGTGGTTTATATATATTGGCAGTGGTTTGCATATATTGGCAGTGGTTTGTATATATTGGCAGTGGTTTTATATTTTGGCAGTGGTTTGTATATATTGGCAGTGGTTTGTATGTATTGGCAGTGGTTTGCATATATTGGCAGTGGTTTTCATACATGTATATTGACAGTGGTTTATATATATTGATAGTGGTTTGTATATATTGGCAGTGGTTTTTATATATTGGCAGTGGTTTGTATATATTGGCATTGGTTTTTATATATTGGCAGTGGTTTCTATACATTGGCAGTGGTTTCTATATATTGGCAGTGGTTTATGTACATGTATATTGGCAGTGGTTTATATATATTGGCAGTGGTCTGTATATATTGGCAGTGGTTTGTATATATTGGCAGTGGTTTGTATGTATTGGCAGTGGTTTCTATATATTGGCAGTGGTTTCTATATATTGGCAGTGGTTTATGTACATGTATATTGGCAGTGGTTTATATATATTGGCAGTGGTCTGTATATATTGGCAGTGGTTTTTATATATTGGCAGTGGTTTGTATATATTGGCATTGGTTTTTATATATTGGCAGTGGTTTCTATACATTGGCAGTGGTTTCTAGATATTGGCAGTGGTTTATGTACATGTATATTGGCAGTGGTTTATATATATTGGCAGTGGTCTGTATATATTGGCAGTGGTTTGTATATATTGGCAGTGGTTTGTATGTATTGGCAGTGGTTTCTATATATTGACAGTGGTTTGTATATATTGGCTGTGGTTTCTATATATTGGCAGTGGTTTCTATATATTGGCAGTAGTTTCTACCTCCTAAATGGCTGTTACCACTAACAGAGATCTTTATACATACTTCCTCATTGGCTCTACCAGCTGTCAGAAGCCTCTATAATTTCTATCGGCTCATTGACTGTTATCAGATGTCAAAGATCTCTACATATATTCCTTCCTTATTGATTGATACCAGCTGTGAGATATCTATATACATATATTCCTTCCTAATTGTTTGATAGTGGCTGTAAGAGGTCTCAATACCACACCCTACTCAATGGCTGATACCAGCTGTCGGAGGTGCCAGTACATCCTTCCTCCTCATTAATTGATACATGCTGTCTCAATACAAACCTCTCTCCTCATTGGTTGATACCAGCCATCAGATCTCTATACATATTCCCTCCTCATTGGTTGATACCAGCCGTCAGAGGTCTCAATACAAACTTCCTCCTTATTGATTGATACCAGCTGTCAGAGGTCTCCATACACTCTCATCCTCATTTTGATACCAACTGTCAGTGGTCTCTACACACCTTCCTTCCTCATTGCTTGATACCAACTGTCATAGGTCTCTATACGCTCTCCTCCTCATTGTAAGATACCAGCCATCAGAGATCTCTATACATTCTCCTCCTCATTGGTTGATATCAACCATCAGAGGTCTCTATACACTCTCATCCTCATTGGTTGATACCAGCTGTCAGAGGTCTCTATACACTCTCATCCTCATTGGTTGATACCAGCTGTCATAGGTCTCTATACACTCTCCTCCTCATTGTAAGATACCAGCCATCAGAGATCTCTATACATTCTCCTCCTCATTGGATGATATCAGCCGTCAGAGGTCTCTATACACTCTTATCCTCATTGGTTGATACCAGCCAGCAAAGGTCTCTATACTTTATCTCCATTTACGAAAGCAGGGGAGGTATATATACCATGTTCATGTATGTTTAAAATGTATAAAATAAATAGTAAAGAGTTAAAAGCATTCAAACCTCTGTCAGTGGTTAATTTTTTTTATTTGTTTGTTAACTGTAGGTAGATCTGGACCATCCAGAAGGTTCTTACTCAGGTGTGGATGTGGACAGGTATTTTTTAGAAAGAAGAAAGGGAGAGAGGGCACAGAAAAGGGACAAAATGATTAAAGAAAAAAATGATTATTTAAGAGACTATATATCATGGCATGTATAAAAAGTAAAATTTACTGAATTGTGACCCCATGTAATTGTTTCAGTGTTGATTACACCAAGTACCCTGGCTTGGCTGATGTGGAATTCTACACCATTAATATAACAGCAGGGGATTGTCTTTTTATTCCATATAAATGGTAATGTCAAGACTCAAGACTCTAAGACAATTTATTGATATTCTTTTTTTTTAATTTGAAATAAATTCCAATGACCATATCCAACTGCAAAGCATTAAATATCTTCTAATATAAATAATCTCCAAAGAAAACCAGAATTATTACATTATATTTATGATTTGTTATATCCTGTTTGTATTTCATCAATTTGTTGTGAAAATATAAATACAGGAAATACTGAAGTGGCAAATAATTTTTTCCTAAATTTTTTTCAGGATTCACCAGGTTCGGTCCTTTGATAGTAACCTGGCTGTAAATATTTGGTGGAACCATTTTATCCCAAAAGATGTTTCACTGGAATCCTGCAACTCAGAGTGTGACCTTGACCTGACCTTAAAGACAGCTGAATTCCGAGGCTTTGATCAAGTCATGGAGAGTGTTGATGCCATAAAGTAAGCATGCATTCTAAGTATCTGTTCCAAGAGAGGGAGGGATTGCATACATCAGTTTGTCTTTCCTTGAGCAATTAATAATATTTGCCTGTTGTCTATATTTGTGAGAATGATGAGTCGCAAAATTAGAAGGCAACATGGTAGATTAAATGATAAATGGCTATTTTCTTCAAAACATATGTGCTAGAATTATTTTTTTTTTTAATTAAAGAAAGATTAATATCATAATATTTTAATGTTCTAAATTAATTACAAATAAGTGTTGTTCTAATTCTGATATACCGTATAGCAGGAATTTTTAGCGGGGTGCTAACTTTGGCTTATTTTAGCAGTTTAAAAATTTTAATCGCTAAATTTGCACACTTGCTATAAGTACTGAATACAAGAAAAAATAACTTTGTTCAGTCTGTTGTAAAACAATATATCTCTCATCTGGTTTGGTTTTTACTCAAAATCTTGCCAAAATCAGTATTCAAGCATATATTAAATGTACTGAAAACGCATCCAGAGGAGGAACTTCCTCTACTTTACACGTCAAGGAACTGTGTGTCCACCAAGAAAAGTTCCATCAAAATTATTGGCATACCTTTGAGCAAGCAGAACGCCAAATCTTACACCCTCTAAAGAAATCCACTATACGGTAGCTTTCCTACAAATTTATCATTTCCACACAATACATGTGAGTTTTATTTTATTCATTTTATTTTTCAGAGAACATGTTTACGCTCTTCTTTCAAGGCTAAAAAATTGTGACTATCATTCATTTCTGAATGGTTTAATTGGGGTAAGAACTCATAAATGTATTATTTATTAAGTATTTCATATCAAACGGTAAAATGAAACGTAATTTAAACCGACAGTAAATATGATATAAAAATAATCCTGGTATTTTAGATAGGGATTTTTAGATTCTATTTAATTCCATGGACAGACAACAATATATATAGAATAATTCCTTTCTATTTGCACACAGTGAAGTGTAATACAGTGCTGTTATGTTTATTGTTACAGGATGATATTGAATTTTTGGGAAACAACAATATTCCTTATGATTCCTTAATGAGGAAGGTAAGGTTATTACATAACAAAATAACATCTACAAAATATGTCAGACCAAAACATACAGCAATTTTCCATCAGTATCTCAAAGAAACTTCTTGGAAACTAAATTGACTCACGGTCATTTCATTCCTCTGTTACCATCATTACTGTAAAAGTTGCTAGTTTTGAAATAATGTTCATTTACCAAGAAACTCAAAGCAAGTACAATTCCATAATAAGTATTCAGTAAAATATACTGAGTAGTCAAATTGAGGTTTATTAAACAATATACAGAGAGGTCACTTAGTCTGTGTGTTTGTTTGTAATTTTCATTAACTGACCTGTTATGATTATAGATATTCCAGGAGATGGATAAAAATAAAGATGGATCCATTAATGAGGAAGAACTAGACAAAATGGACGAGCAGGTACAAATCTGTCTTTATTGTGTGATAAATAAATTTTGCAGTAACATTATATATATTCCAAAACACCAATATACAATTCTTTGATGTTACATCACTGACTTCCTGTCACATGACATGCTATATTTTAACAGAATTGGCTGAGAGTGCAGCAGACAATGGATGAATTAAGTCACCTGATTAAAGATGCAGAGAGTCTGGATAATGGAGAGTTCAGGTTCAAGGATGAGTTATAGAGGCCAATCAAGGGAAACCATTCATCACCTCATTTGATCTGAAACCTAGTCTACCCACCAATGAAATCCATTTGTTCTTAAGAATATACTGAGTTTAATTTTGGCTCCAAACACATTTTGATAATGTATTCAATATTCAAATTGAAATTATTTTTCAGTTAATATGGTTTATTTTTGAAGCTAAAGTGACATTTTTTATGCTTCAATTAACATTTGTGTATTAAAAGATTACGCATTTGTTAACCAGGTACTTAATAATTACTTCTCAGGAACTCATTTCTTTCACATTATCTCAGTGTAAATCTGAGGATTGCTCAATGATACATTTTCATGTAGAAATCAAGTTACAGTTGAACTTTGATATCTCGAACACTGATATCTCAAATCCCCTGGATATATTGAAGTATTTTAGAAGTCTCAACCATTGTTTCTTCATCATGTATTTTAACCTTGATATCTGCTAAATATAAACAATATTTTTTATTAATGGACTATAATTACGAAGAAAAATGATTGGTTTAAAGCTGTGATAATTTTCACCTTACTTCTTTTTTCATGCCAATTGCAAGATCTTTTCATCCCATCTTTATTATTTAAATAATATTAGATGTATGAATTGAAACAAAATAATACTTCACAAAATGTAGGGAAATCTGTATCATCATTTATGTGATTCATGCATTCCAGCAAGTTGATACCACCTTTGTTTGATAACTTATAATTTATTTTTTGTCATTTTTTTCAAATAACATTATTTTTAGTTCACCTCAGCCAAAGGCTCAAATGAGCTTTTCTGTTTTAATATTTGTCCATCCGTCAACTGTTAATTTTTCACATTTTTGGCTTCTTCTCAACAACCATTTAGTTTTGGATAATTGAGATTCAAGTTTTCCAGATGAAGAGCCAAGTCCCATATTATACTATTAGTCTTTTATTATATACTAGCCTTTTATCGTCTTATTTGATTATTCAACTTAATTTATTTTATTGTATTTATATTAAAAAAAAACATGTTCATGTAATATTCATGAGAATCCCACTGGAAATTAGCATATCAAATTTTTCATGGATTATCCTCGGGTATACATGGCTCTATATCTTCATCTTTTCCTTGTGATTTATGTTTATCAATGTCTTTTTTTAACAGTCAATTTTTAAGAGCATGTCATTATTTCACTTGTATTTTACATGTTAATTTTATGTGCTTAAATAGGAATGTTTTTAAATCCTCTTTAAAAATAGCAGGGTGCAATGAGTCATTATAGAAGCAACTCCATAAAGTGTAGAATCATTTTTGTTGAATCATGGCCCCTGGGGCTTTGGTTGAAGTCACAATATAGCATTCCACATTAACAGAATGCCAACAATTATACATATACATGTTTACATGTATCAAAATATAAATATCTCAGTGAACACTGTCATATTGATATGCCAGCTTCCTCATGTTGGCAATGGCAGGGGTCACAATAGGGCTAAGGTTGATGAAGTCACAACGAAGAGTTGTGCAAGAGTGCAGTCACGCTAGGGGATAAAAATAATAATAATGGGAATAAATTGGAAAAGTCTCTAAAAATCTTCTAAAAGCATGGCCAAGGTTATTCAGGTGAGTGATATGGCCCATGGGCTTCTTGCTTGTTATGAAATCCACATATTTTTACTGCTTAATATGAATTATAAGAATGTTATATTTGTTTCTGTTCATAGGTACTCCACCTTTTGATTTGAAAATATTTATTAACCAAGTGCTTACTTTTGCTATTTTTTTTACATTCTGTTCATGAACTTTTATATTTGTATAAGTATACATTTAAGTACACTTGCAATGTATGTGTACACACTATCCTGTATACAAACTTTCTTTGATAATAAACAATATTTTTTTGATGATTAACTTTTTTTCAGTGTTTGTGTGTTGAATAAATTTGTAAAGTGTAAAGAACGTAGAAAAATACTTTTGTTGCCCATAATTTTTTTCAGATCATATAACATTAAAATTAACCAATCTGAATTGATCCACAGAATCTGCAGTACAATATACTGAGCTATCACAGCTTCCCAACGAATCAGGATTTGGCTCAAAAGTCCATTTAACAATACAAATTTTGGAGCAGAGCAAACATGGACCTCTAAAACATCAGAGGTGGGATCACGTGCTAAGGAGGAGTGAGCATCCCCTGCCGACCGGTCACACCCGCTGTGTGCTCCTTGCAATGATCGGGAAATAACGGAAAAATCTGTCGACAATTCAGTGTGTAAATAATGGCCTAACAATTGGTATGAAAAATGTCAGTCAGCATTTGACTTCAAGATAAATTGTATTTGCTGACAAGGTCATTGTATCGACCATAGAACTTACGAAATGACGACTTTAAACGAGACTGCTGATATTCTTGTTTCATCAACTTGTTTGTCAATAACTTACCTCGTTTTAGAAATTGTTCATACGTAGAGCATGCTCATAAGAATGGAAATAACCATTGTTAATTGACAATACGTCGTCGATATATCTAAATGTTGAGTTGAAGGCCACAGCAAGTGTTTTCTTCTTTTCATGTATAAGATTTTGAACAAATTCTGCTTCATATGAATACAAAAAAGGTCTGCCAATAACGGGGTGCAATTACTACCCATGGGAATTCCAATAGATTGATGGAAGACCTGGTCTCCAAAAACCACATAGATATTGTCAATCAGAAACTCAAGCATCTTTTTAATATCAACTTCAGAGTACTTGTGTGTACAATTTTCATTGAAAAAGCAGCTGTCAATATCAAAAAGCCTGGACTTTATTTTTTCATGGGGAATGGTTGTATATAAAGTTGAAAAGTTGTGCAAGTTTTTATGTTGTTGATTAGGGTAAAATTTTGTGATTTCAAATTTTCCAAAAGTTCCTTGGTATTTTTAAGTAAACACATCTGATTTACACTATTGCTCGAATATATTGTTGCACAGTACTCCTGAAGTTTCTCCTTCACTACTATTTTAGTGAGGGGCATTATCAGAACCCCCCCCCCCCCCCCCCCCGAAAAAGGAGAGTTTTCGCAACTCAGAATTTTATTTAATTGGAAGTTAAGGTCTGTACATGGTGGCTTTCACTGATCATTTTTATCCTTAAAATTTAAATTAAAAATTTACGTTCTCAAAAAAGGTGGCAAGTGAGACAGGCCCCCTGCAACAGCCCCCCCCCCCCCACCCACCCATCACCCAAGATCTATGTGCCATAATGTTATGTTCATATGAGTGGAAGTCAATTGCAAGTGAAATATCTTTCCAGAACTATTTGTATCAATGGGAATTCCCAATCTATTTTTAGTCTAATGTGAGAAAAATAAATCCTTATATTCACCTGGAAGGTCACATGCAGGTGAATATAACGTAGTATTTTTCTAACATTGTTGGATCTCAGCCAATCAGAGAGATGGGAATTATTCATTCATATAATAATTTGGGACTGCCAGCTCACTTCGACATATCCCTGGTATTCAATATGTCAGAATCTGAGATAACAAAGTTCAACTGTATATCAATGAAACACTTTAAAGGGCAAGTAATACTTGTAGTATATATATTCAGACTGAGGAAGGACTCCTGGAAAACATTTAATGTTCCAGATTAGAACCAATACTGGGATTCCTTTTCAATATCAATAATTAATTTAAAAGGAATCTGAAACTTTCCTTTCTAATGGTAAGCGATTGACACAAAATATCACCAGTACAATGAACTTGAAATAAGTATGCATTAGACAAAAAAAAAATCGATTTATTTACAGTTCACACTAAAACAATTCACATTTAAATACATATAGTATTTTTCATCCTATACCAAAGTGTAATACTACAAATTTACACATTTTACATGATTTTTTTCAGATAATCACAGTATATGGGTTTCTAAGATTGCACATTAATAATAATTTTCAGTATCAAGACAAGTAACAGTTTTTCTTTTCAAAAGAATTGATTTGTAGGAATTCATAAGATGCTGGTTTTTGTTACATGTGTACATTAAAGCTTTATAGATCTAAGAATTACAGAAATTACCATAATGCACAAGTTCATGCAAGTTGATGATTTACACAATATATGATGTACAATAAATAAAAACTGCTTGTTCACTTTCTCTTTTTCAACTGTTCAAATCTTCTAGTCAAATCATCAAAGTCTACATCCTCTCCACCAGCGGAGGTACCACCCACCGAATTCCCTGGATCAGGGAGGGTACTATTTGGGACAGCTGGGAGGTCAGGAAAAGTGTCCGGGGTAAAGCCTGCAGGTGGTGGGGGTTGACTGTGAGCCTGTTTCTTTGGGTCCTCACCTAGCCAGTCATTATAAGACTGCTGACCAGTCTGTGGTGGTGGGGCTGAATGCGCTGGGTCCACAAACCCTCCTGCTCCAATCCCTCCTGAGGGGGGTGCCTGGGGTAAAGGAGGTGGCATCTTACTATCCTGGTTCAAATAAAATAATGAATAATTAAACTTACATTGTATGTCACTGAATTATTATTATTATTCACTTTTCGTAATCAAAATGCAAGATTGTAAAATGGATTTTACATGGCTTGATTGTCCCAACAGTAACAGATCTTACATAATAAACCATTCACGATGTACAGTACTACTAACAGTTTTGAAATTGTAGTAATTTAACAAAAAGAAAAATGAGCATGTTGAAAATTTGAAATGCTCTTCGACTATCAAATTTATTCATAAGCACTGTGTTAATTTTGATCACTGGTTTGAATAATTGGTTCTTTTCATAAGCAATGCCAGCAAACAAAATGTACTGAAAGCATTAAACTGCAATAAGTGCAGTCAACATGAAAGTTTTAAACCACTTGACTATCCATTCCTTACCTGTGGTGGTTGGTACAAATGCTGGGGAGGTGGATACTGAGGTTGAGATGGGGGAGGATATGAAGGTGCTGAGGCACCCCCTCCAATCTGTGGCTGTAACACCCCCATCCCTCCACTGGGCCCCCCATTACTCCCTCCACCTTTCTTCTCTCCAAGATCAATCAATAAGTTTTCTGCAGCAAACACCTCATCCTGATTCATCACAGCAGGATCAGGCTCAAATGGCACATTGTAAGTCTTAGCAATTTCAATCATGTATCGCTCTACCAAGATTTTGGGTGGGGCTTGAACCCCAAGTTTGTGCATCACTTTTTCATTGACATTGTTTAGTTCATTCGTTCGACATGCCTGGCCAAATTCTTTCCCATATTTAGCAGTTAACTGATCTGTCACTATTTTAAACTCCTGCACATCTGCTTGAAGTCTTGGTGTTGCCCATATTATACTCGCAATGGCTTCCTCCAATCCAGGATCCAGCTCCCTACAGAAATAAATGAACAAGATTTTCTAGAATACTTATGACCTTATTATGAAATCTATTGGAGATATTTTCTAGCAAACTGTTAGGGGCTTGAAATCATCAATGTCAATGTAATTAGTGAATCACAAAGTTAAAATCAAATACTTACTTTTGGGTCTGAATAAGACCGAATCGGGCCAATAAAAGATCACAGAACATTTCAAGGAGTTCCATAGCCTCCACCAAATAGTCCTCTCGGACAATGTGTTCCACACGGATCCGTGCCCTGTCGTCCTTACCTGCCGAAATATAATCTGCTATTTCTTTTCTAGCCTTAGAAGCCATCTCTGTTTTCTTCTTTTCCAACAGTTTTAAACGATTTATGACAAGTCTCAGATTTGTTTTTAGCTTCACGTAGTTGGCCCCCGAGCTAAACATTGTTGCCTACTTGGTGTCAATTCTTCTTAGTGAAGTCAAATGAATGATACCAGAAAAAACTTAATTTGTAAATAGCACAATCGTCATAAGACTCTGACTTTCTTGTTTAGATACGTGACGTCATATTTAGTTCACTCTACTTCCGCATAGACTGCAGCGAATATTCAGCAAAAAACAAAAAACAAAAAAAAAAACCAAACAAACAAACAAACAAACAAACAAATAAACAAAAAATCAAAACAAAACAAAGAAGACAAGATAGGCTGAATTAGAAAGAAATGTTCATGAATTAAATAACGTTTGTAGGAAAAGATTTCCTTAACCGCAATTTACAAAACACTGCTTTCTGCGTTGACTTCAACGCAGCGGCGTAGCTTACAAAGGGGAAAAGGGGAGGGGGGTGTAAGACCTACTGCCTTGTAAAAACCCACGATTGGCCATGAAGTCACGATTATCTACTCTGTAATCAAGGTAAATCATTCAGTCCTTTGAACAACACTTTGGATGTGTTTGAAAATGCTTATTTTTGAGAAATCAAGTATAGGCTCGCATTATTTTGGGGGGAAGAGGTTGAGGTGGGGGTGAGTTCAAGTCCAATTTATTCACCCAAACCAAAATTGATACATGGGGTAAAATACTAAAAACATCTATACATTTTATACAAACTGGTCAGAGGTGCCTACACAATACAAAAACATGACAGAATAGAATTAAGAAAGAAAGAAAACAAGAGGCCCAGGGGCCACATCGCTCACCTAAGCACTGTGGCTAGGAAAAAAGCAAAAATCAGTTTAGTATTGAAAAGCTTAAATGCATAAGTGGTCCCGACCTATCCCTAAAAGGGAGGGGGGGGGGTTATGATTTGAACAAAATTGAATCTACACTAACTAAGGATGCTTACATATTTTTTGACTAACTGTGATCGTCTTTCCCTACAAGTTTGAACTTTCATTGTGGCCCCACCCTACCCCCAGGGGGTCATGATTTGAATAAACTTGAATGTACACTATCTGAGGGTGCTTCCAAATAAATCTGACAAATCGTGGCTTTGCTGTTCTTGAGAAGATTTTTAAAGATTTTTCCTACATATTCCTATGTAAATCTTTGATCGTCCACTGTGGCTCCACCCTACCCCCGGGGGTCATGATTTGAACAAACTTGATTCTACACCATCTGAGGATGCTTCCATATAAATATGACCAATCGTAGGTTTGCTGTTCTTGAGAAGATTTTTGAAGATTTTTCCTATATACTCCTATGTTAATCTTTGATCGTCCATTGTGGCTCCACCCTACCCCCGTGGGTCATGATTTGAACAAACTTGAATCTACACTACCTGAGGATGCTTTCACATTAATATGACCAATCATAATTTTGCTGTTCTTGAGAAAAAGATTTTTAAAGATATTTCCTATATATTCCTATGTAAAACTTTGATCGTCCACTGTGGCCCCACCCTACAACCGGGGGTCATGATTTTAACAAATTTGAATATAAAATACCTGACAATGATTCCACATGAGTTTCTTATTTTTTCTGGCCCAGTGGTTCTTAAGAAGATTTTTAAAAGATGTTATATTAATTTTTCATTAATTCTTAATTATCTCCACTTGTAGGAGGGCGTGGCCCTTCATTTGAACAAATTTAAATCCCCTTTACCCAAGGATACTCTGTGCTAAGTTTGGTTGAAATTGGCCCAGTAGTTCTGGAAAAGAAGATGAAAATGTGAAAAGTTTATAATGCCATCGACGACATCGACGACGACAGACAACGGACAAATTTTGATCAGAAAAGCTCACTTGAGCCGAGCTAAAAAAAAAAAAGAATGGGAGAAAAATTAATATTATTTATATATCGAGGACAGACATCCTCATAATTTTTTAGGTTAAATATACATAACTTCTTACAGATTTTTTCGTTTTGAGTCGACATTATTTCAATTAATTTAATAACATTGGGTCCAGTTGATCTTTTCTTGTATTAACTAAAACTTTACATTCTAGACTATAACGCAATTTGAGCATTGTATTACAGAGTGTATAAGTCTTTCGCTATGTGGTGTACCATACCATCTTTCAGTTTCTACTCTTAGATGATGATTTTCAGTACGAAATTTCAAACTAAAGTATCAAGTTTTTCTGGGACACAACTTATTAATATTTTCGAATGCAAAGTTTTATTTGGAAATTCTGGAATTTTGTCCTTTTGAAGAGTTATTTACATCACTGGACCACTTTTGAATAATTAAATTGATCTAGTAATATTTATCTTATAATAGAGGTTATCCATTTATAATTTATATTAACACCCTGTTCGTACCGTTCAATATACATGTACACATATTACAGATTTTCTGTATGTAATCTAACCATCATGGGTTTGTTAAATTTCCACCACAATACAGTTTAAACATATGTTTGTATAATACATTTACAGTTTTATTTCAAGCGTAAACGTTCAGTATCATCAAGATTTTCACAGCCCCATTCTTCAGAGCCATATAATAAGAATGGTATTACCACTTTATTAGAAAGACCAAACTGACAGTCAACTGACAATTAAATTGTCTAATTTATTGAAGGGGGAGGGGGGGGGGGGTGGTCATATAGTAATGTAATTTTTCTACACTTCAGGTTCCTTTATGTGAGATTATGCAAGTTGCCATGTGTCAATGGTCGCTTGATTTACTTAAAATCTTTGCTATTCATCGATACAGGAAGATTATATTCAGAAGTCGATATTTTAGTTTCAGAACTTATGAGAAATCGTAAACCGCAAATAAAAATTTGTTAAACAAAAGGCCAAGATATTACAATTCACCTTCAAATGCATGTTAGTGAAAAAAGTAGCTGGACTGAACTTTACTATTTCTACTATTCAGTCCTGTAGCAACGGTTTCAAAAGTTGGGGGGGGGGAAGCCCCCTCCCCCCAATCTGATAAGCCAGAAAAGTCCTTCACTGTCCAAATTCTGGAATTTTCCAGGACTCGACCTTACAGCAACAAAAAGTTTGTATATTTTTTGGGGGGTGGGGGGGGCATGCAAACAGCATCTTAATGAAAATATTCTATAACAAAATACTATTCTCAGAAAAAGGGGGCGGCCCTCCGCGTTCTACAGGCCTGCCATTTTGGTGAATGAATTGGTTTTACATGAAAGCATTTAATTGCATGAATTTATTGAGGGAATTCGAAGACATTTCTGAAACCATCAAGGATGTAGACAAAATATGAGAGAGAAGCCAAACATCAGAGATATGATGAACTGATAATAGTAAACTCAGAAAAATTCTGGGCAACTCAAGGAGTATGAATGTCTTCTCGTTCAATAAATCAATCCCCCATTGACGGGACTCTTATATGTGTAAGTGTTCATCGCCACTGAAAGCTTAAAAGAGATTTGATTCTAAAGAATGAAGAACATGTAAAACTCAGTTGTAAATTACAGGAATTCTTTAATGAATTGTAAGCCGTGCTTCCAATCGATGCAGCAACTAAGCAATTTTACCCGCAGTCAATATTTTTCGCGCACGACAACGAGCAGTCAGCAATGTACCCGATCTCACCGCTGCATTTCATTTCCGGAATTCTCAGCATTTCCGACATTTTTTTAATTTTCATTTCCGATAATATGTTTTTTTCATTTCCGGACCCCCCCCCCCCCCTACTTCTAACACCAGTGGTCAAGTGCATTGAATTTATTTCATAATTTCATAAATTTCATAAATGTCAAAAATGAAAGCTATAAAATCTCGGAAATGAAAAGATGAATATTTCAAAAAATTCCGGAAATAAAATGCAGCCATCCGGTCATGCATCTGCAGTGCAAAATTCCCTCCCCAAAGGCCACCTGTTTCCCAAATGTAGGGTTAAAACTATAAGGGGTTTAAAGTTGCTTTTATATTCATGAGACGTTTGAGTCCCACAGGCCCTTGGTTAAAATGCGTTGCCATGGAAATAAAATCGGGTGATGATCATAATGTATCTGTACATGAAAAAAACTTTTCTATAAAATGGCAATTTCTAATGCAGTCATATGTTTACATATAAATATATTTTAACTATAACTAAAATGGTGAACTTAAGTTTCTAGTTATACATCAATATTCGATTACCGTTATATGGTCTAAAGGCCTCTGAATATATTTACAAAACTAAAATTCAATAGCTATCTATGTGCCCATATGTATATAAATATATTAATCCAAAATTCACGTTGAAACAAAAGTAAAAAGTTCAATATTGACCATAGAATTAAACATTAAAGCGTTGACTATGTCAATAAGTGATCTACACAGAGAAATGGCATATCAAGAACCAGCGCGGCACTTGTTCGCTCTCGTGTCGGTGATCAATCGGTCTTAAGTCAATGAATACACCCTACAAGTTACTCAATAAAGAAATGCCAAGCAATCTTTACAAGGACGATTAAAAAACTGATAGCCGGTGAAAAGGAGACTTCATTATCAAATTAAACCTCAGATTTTATTTGTGAAAGAACTTAGGCTTCACTGGTCTCTAAATACCAAGGTGTTGCATGGCGGGATCTTGTACAGGTATGTTTAACGATGTTTATTATTAAACTTTTGTATCTGGGAAGACAGTCAATAATACCATAATCATTTTCTTCTTCTTCAGGAAATGTTTAAAAAAGAAAAACGAAAAAAAAGTCAATATCTCCCTTGTGTTCAACATTAATTCAAAATCAATCATCGTATTTTCAAAAAGTAAACAGAATTAGATAGGTTCTTTTCAAGAATCTTGATCTTAAACATCAGAACCTATTTTGTTTATGCGAATATGAAATTGAAAAAAATTAAATCTTCCTGCCGAAATTTCGTAAAAAATCTATCTATAAATGAAGAATATTAAAACGCCATTTAAAAGGAAAAAAATAAATGTAAAGAGCTTTATTGAAATGGAAAACATTTCATACCCCACTGAACTGACTTTTTAACACAGCATAGATTAGACTGATCACTTTACAAACATTTCTTTGTAGAGCTATATTGGTTTTCTTCATATGGGTTCAACATACATATGTCAGACAAGGATGTGTTATTGACGTAATCGAAGGAACAAATATCGAAGGCACAAGGTTTATTCATCATTTTTTAAACAGCGAGTTTATATTATTTTTTGTTTGAACTGTGTAATATAGATCATTCTTTAATCTCAACAAGTTTGTTATACGATGATATTATAAATACAGTTACAGTAATTGGACAATTTTTTTCTCCCTAGAATTTTGAAGATGGAGGGCGATGTAGAATTCGAAAATGCAACAGTCCTTACTGAAAGTGCTAAAGATAAAACGTCTCAAAATAGAGATAAAAACTTGAATACAGAAAACAGTGGAGATAAACAAGGAGACAGGGACTTTCAGAATAAAAGTGATGAATGTCAACAAAAGTCCTCCGAGTTCAAAACAGAGTCGGAGTCATTGAGAAAAATGAAAGAAGAAATGGAGAAAATGCGTCTCGAGGACCAACGTCAAGAAGAAATCGCCGCAGCGATATACAAACGAGACTTTAAACGAGAACGAGCTAAAATAGAGAAGGAGACGATTGATAGAGGATATATGTTTAATCCTGACATCCGGGACATTAAAGGTGCTATTGCAGAAATAATGAATGAAGAACGAACTTTCATGTTACAAAGACAAATCGATGCTTTGGACAAAGAGGAGAAACGGATGCAAGAAGAAATAGATAAAAAGTATGGACTGCTTTTCTCCAAAGAAGGGAGACAAAACTTGACTGATCTCGCCGATAAGTTTTTCTCTTTACCCGGAAATGCAGGTCTCCCAGAACACATTACAAGGTCACTGACGTCAGAAGAAATAACAGACCTTAAGATCGTGTTCGATATGTTTGACGTGAAAGGGAAAGGGTAAGAATATCCTATTTTGAATTAAAGATAACGGTTGCAAATCCTTGCTTTTGAGACTTTATTCTCTTACACATGTAACTAGTTTACGATTTACAACTACTTTTGTTGTTGCCAATTACAGATATATCAGTGCTACCGATCTAAAGAAAGCGTTGGCTATGCTTGGTTTTCGAGCATCAAAAGCTGTACTAGGCAATATGATAAGTATGTCTATAAAACTTATACTTAATTATCAACTTACATGTACTTTCAATAAATTAATTTTCACGTAATTTTTCGCGTAATACACGATACACGTCATTTCATACAAATTTTTTTGCAGGCGAAGTTGCCGGAGAGAACAAAGTAAGAGTGACATTTGAGAACTTTTTAGATTTCGTGGTTAAAAGTCAAGGTGACGGGCCTGATCCTTATGGAGAAATCAAACAGGTATTATGATTGGATATTCTTTAAATTAGTCTATATAAACATGATCTATAAAACCTTTTCAAATTTTATTGAAACCTCTGATAATATTCAATCTTGGCCTTTTGAATCAGGCATTTGAGCTGTTAGACACTAAAGGCACAGGTTTCCTGACTCTGGAGGATTTGAGGGAAGCTTCCTCGGAGTGTAGTCTGAACTTTTCAAACACCGCCCTGAGGGAAATGATTCAGGAGGCAGATAAACACGGGGAGGGTAAAATCAGTCTGGAGGACTTCACTGACATCATGTTACAGACCAGTAGGTTCAAGTTCGCCTCCTGATGTGTTGCAGAACTACACTTAAAGATTTCAAAATTCTCAGAAAATGGAAGAGCAATTTAGCCAGCTGTTTTAATAAAAATACAATAGGAGGTTGCAGAAAGAGCTGATATGTTTACTAGCAGTCGCATTGATATTCATTAAGAAAAAAAAATGATTGCATAACTGACAATTTTATTCACAGTTTATAAGGATTTCAAAAACACTTTATGTTTACAATCATGACTTCTGACAGTAAATATATTTACATAACTTGCATGTGTTTCATGTGCTGACCTTCCTTTTCTTTTTGGATTTCTTTGGAGTCGAATTAACATCTGGTGATTTGGCATCCTTCCGGTTTGAGGCGCTGGGAGTCCTTTCGCTTTTCTTTCGGTTCAATTTTCCATCTTTGATCTCTTTCGAATTAATCTGTGACATTATTTCTGCAACATCCCCTACAATATAGTTCAAGATGATAGATAAAGTAAATGAGGATAATAGTTTCAAAGCGAAGATCGAAATGTAGATTAGAACCACTTTACCTGCCTTCTCCTCTGCTATCTTTTGTTGCTTTTTATCCCAGTGCTTCAATTTCCCTTCAAAGTTAAAAAAAATATTCAACTGAGTTAAAGGGGCATAGACACACTTGAAGTTTTCTTCAAAATTTTGAATTTCTTTATTGATTATTAAAAAAATAACTTTAATATCATAATTTTATTACATGAAAAATATTCTATGATAACTGGATTCTTATATAACCTACGCAAAAACATGTATAATTTGTAAACAGGGGCTTGAGCTCTGACATTGTTTATATTTACATTCTGCCGAGTGAGTTCGATTGGCTAACACTGCATACATTACTGAACATTACTGAATAAGAATTGATAATAAAGTTAAGTTTGTCTTACTATCTTATACATTTGTATGCTGGCTTTTCTTGATTGTAGTTTTCATATAGGGGTATCTTTTATACACTACGAATTTCCTTTCGTATTAAGGATAAATTTTTGAACAATGAAGTATATGGATGTATGCCAATCAAACACACCCGAAATTCCTAGTTTTTAAAATTTTTGGAGTTTATAATTTTTTTTTAAAATATGCTTTTGCAAAATGTCCGCAGGTGAGTTAAGGCTAGGTATAGGCATTTCTATGCAAATATACTAATTAAAATGCCTAAGGACTATATCTATTATACAGAGAAAGTTAAAACTTATTGTCTTATACATACTTGGTACCCACGACTTGAGATAGCCAGTACATATTATGACGTCATATTATGACGTCATTGTTCTTTACTACACAAGATTATTATGGACATCAACAAAAATGCTTCGGCGCAAGGGCATGCTCTATTTTATTTAACTGAAACAAGGTATATTTAGAAGCAAAATATTCCAAAGTTTGCTGGTATTGCTGCACAAATATCAACAGCTTTGTTGTATAATTTCTATTTGTAAAGTTATAAGTTGAATAAGGGTAAAAATGTACAGTCCGGCATATGTTTTCTCAAATTCCGATCAAATGAGAATATGCCTAGGATTTGTGCAGCAGTTTTATTATTCTATAGAATATTCTTCTTAGCATTATACAATTTTTATGTAAAAATAAATAGGGTAATCCCTTGCGCTAAAGCTGTTTTGCTGATGTGTTTTATTATCTCCAGTAGGTAAGATCAGTGACGTCATGATATGACGTCATAATGTGTACTGGCTATAACACATCATGGGTACTAAGTATACATAAGAAAGTAATTCAAAACTTTCTCTGAATAATAAATATACCTCTTATGTGTTTTTATTAGCTCATTTGCATAGAAACGCCTATACCTAGCTTTAACTCACATGCGTCGGTGTGAACCGCTCTCACATGTAAGACCATCTTTAAAAAATTGTTTGCCCTCTCCCGGCCGACTGGCTAAAATGGACCGATTCAAAACGTTTTTTAACCTCCAGAAAACGATTTTTAACCCCCCCTCCCCTGATTCTTGTTTCTGGAAAAAAAAAATCCCACCAACCTAATTTTCTTACTCGGGGTCAGGAGAAGTCAAACAAACAATATTTTATTACTTATGGCCCAAGTTGCAAAATTTTGAAGGATATAATCTTCAAAATTGTGTTTATGTCCTACAAACATCTGAAAAAGAATAATACACATTAACAGAAAAAGTACCAAAATCAGTGGTTGGTTACTTGAATTCCGAGGCTTCTAAAGAGCACGGAATGATCGAATTAAGCTATGAAGTAATCAAATAATTATGAATTTTCGTCTGTTATAGACAATGCATACATAAAAAAACCTAACTCCTAAATAATTCTCCATTCACGCATGGTAAGTTAAAAAAAAATTAGCTTACTTAATAGTGATTCTCTGTAACCACTTAAACTTCTTTGCAACGCATGGTCACAGATTTTGATGAAACTTTGCCCATTATTACAACTTAACACCAGAAACATATATCAAATAAAATTTCGTTGCTATGTGTCTTGGTTGCCATGGTAACATCCAGAAAAGTTGAAAAAATTGAGATTTTCAGCTACTTTGAATCTTTATTAAGCCTTAATAAAGACTAAGAAAAACAAACAAACTATTCTCACGAAAACATGACACTTTATTGCAACTTATGCTACAAAGAAACTATTTAGAATTTATCTCTAAGTAAGTGGTAACCATGGGTACATTTGGAATACATTTCAGATGCTGAAAAATGCTGAAAAACGCTCAATATTCACTAATGATAGATGTTACATGATCAAACTCGATCAACAATTGAAGAAAAACGATAAAAATATTTGACCTTAAGTAATTAGGTATTGGCAATATTATTCTAAAAATAACTTTCATGGTTGCCATGGTAACATAGTGTAACCATGCAAAATTCATTGCTAAGATTGGGTTAATGCTACTTTCTTGAGGAAAAACAATAAAATTCATGACTGGCACATATACATCCTTAGGACCTTGCAACACCGACAACATAAGACAAATTGGGAATTATTGTTACTTTGCAGTGTAACCATGGAAACAACGTACCAGTTGTTTAAAGTGATATTTTTTTTACTGCTTTAGGAATTTACTTACCTTTTAATCAAGGAACATATGATTTGACTCATCTTGAATAGTACTTATCTGGTAGAACTAAAGTTGAATATCATATATTGATAAAGTTTGTTGAAAAATACAACACTGTTGCTATGGTTACCAAGAAGGGAAAATGTTCGATTTTGTTAATTTTATATCAATATTAAATCCTTTGTGCCAGCTTTTTGCATCCAGTTAGAGATTGGGTGGTAGTCAAAATTGAAAGTCAGGTAAGTTGTTCATATATATCAATCATAAAAGTTTTGGGAATCTACATACAAGGGTACGTATCCAAGGAAACAGTATATTTTTCAGATTTTTATGCATATTTTTTCGGCTAATTTCCATAGCAACGCTCTATTTAAAGAATCGAATTTGAATTTTTTGAAATGTGAAAATTAGGGTCACACCAACGCCTTTAAAAATTGATCATTAGTTATATAGAAATATGCTTTGTAAAAAGATAGGATAAAATTAAAATACTAAGAGCGTAAATTTAAAATCCCTTTGTGGTATTAAAACCATGGCAACCATTGCCAACCTATAAGAAATATCATATTTCGTCCTTGGTATATGTTACAAGGATCTCTTGTCTATTATTTGCTTGCATTTCAACCTATAATTGTTTTTACTCTTAAGTGTATGACTTTATAAAATTAAATGAACAAAATTATTACTTTTGAATACTTTGTTTCCATAGTAACGTATGTAATAGTTGATTTACCAAACATGTTTATCATGCATTTAAGACATCAGGCCTTCAACTTTCAGAAACAGTCATTGCCACTTGTTTGCTTTGCTGCAAATGTTAACTGTGGGACTCTGAACATGTTGAAAAATGCCATTTTTCAAAATTTAGGACGAGTTGCTATGGTAACCATGACACGTAGCAACCAATTTTTGCCTGATTTGAGTTTACGGTATCAAAGACTTTTATCATAGAGAGTTTGGAGAAATTCTGAGACTATGCGTGCCACAGCTCCTATATAAAATTTAAAGTCGTTACAGAGAATGACTCTTAATACGAAAGTTTAATCCATAAGTTTAATTAGGACTTACTCTTTGACTTTTAAGATGCGAGTTTGAAGCAAAGCGAAACGATACGATTAATTTACTTCTTGACCGAATAAATTTTGAGACAACTTGACAAATTTGCCTGGAGCAGAATGGATACATTAGAAGTACTGCGGGTGAGATGGTGTACTATGATACCTACGTTCTAGAAACTGGTACTTCTTCTCCCAGTCTTGTAGCAGTGGAGTGATCTTTTTGATTGAATTATCTTCATATACTGAATATGATATATTATATTATAAAAGCAAATCAAATACATGCAGTAAATTAATATGGAATTCAACAGTAAAAAAAAATAAAGATAAAAAAAAATACAATGTCTATCCTAATTGCCATTATACAGCTGTATAACAATTGACAGCAAGAACAGTTGCTTCTATATTACATCGACATGTCTTTAGTTCCGTTGGTGAATCACCAGTGCCAGTCACATGAGTCACTCATACGTCTGTAAGGTCAAATGGAAATAATGCAACGCATGCCCCGGGGGTGGGGGAGGGGTTGTTAATATTTCTCTCAAGGAATCGACATTGTCTCATTCAGGCTTACTCTGGAACACCGTAAATACCCCTCAATTTGGAGCTCATGTTCAGTTCCTCCAACATACATTTCTTTCTGTAGAAACATCTGCTAAACAATTAATATATTTCAGAAAATCTAAACTTCAGATGCCGTCAATGATAATGTCTGCTACAACTGCCTCAGAAATTGAATTCATAGTATCCCAACGTAAAATTGATTGTGCAATTTCCCTCCACATGCAATTTCATTTGCTGGAACTATTTTTGAGTTACAAGCATAAACTGAACAACATTAGAACTAAGCGTGCTCTCAAATACTTTGCCTGACAAAATTGTCAGAGTACGCTCCCGTATCCACCGCTATTACACGACACTTTGTATGAATATCGATCGACTCGTAATTGAATCCATGCTCGTCTTCCTACTCTTTGGTTTACTCTGCGTCATCTCTTTTTGTTTTACTCCTTCTTTGGGTAAAACACACCGTAAAACGACTTCCATTATCTTTTTGACATAATTCTTTAGCTCTATGACCCCCCTTACACAGTCATGACACTTATAAAAAGAGAACTAAGTTGGGTTGGAACTTTGAACTGTACTCGGATTTATATGCTTTCAGATGTCTTCTTGACCCTCTTCTGACAACTTGGCTATTTTGTTTTCAAAGTCTCAATTCTCAAAGTCTCGTAGCGAGAACCCTATAGTTCATCCCTTAATTGTGTTAAATCTCTCCGCGCCTTCGTATTATTCGTCATGTGCTGTTCTGGCAAAACCAGCATCACGCTATCTCTGGTGTTCAGCTCTACGAAAGGCTTCAATCTCCACGACAAGCCGAACTGCATCATTAAAAGACTTGGCCTTGACTGATGGATTCTCAGGCGCATACCAGTCAGTAAAGGCGTCGATGAACTGATCTTTAGCGATCATATCAGTAACATCACTTGGTGAAACTAAATCTGCTAGTCGTCGTACTTTCCCCAAGTTCTGACAATGTCTCCTTCGGCTTCTGGTGCTTTTCCTTTAGCATGGTTCGGTAAAGTTCCGTCTATAATATGCTGGTTCAAAACTTGCTTCTAATGCTTCACACAGATCCCTATAGACACATGTATCTGATTTCAGGTTTCCAAGTACTGTTCGTGTTTGGTATTTTAAGGATGCTGCCAAGAACGAGCCCTTTTATCTATCATTCCACATATTGATGTTGCTACATGCACATACCTCAAAAGGAACTTTGTAGTCGATCCAGGACCCATTGCTATTAAATGTTGCAGACCTCATAATAGTTTTACCAAACATGTTACTAGCAGCATAACTACCACCGCTTTCATACACTGGTACTATATGACATTATGGCGTATTTGGTACGGGAAGCTTGGGGCCTCTTTCCTTTGCAGTTTGTGGGTGTTGGCATTGAGCTAACACTCAGAGTACTCCAGTGTACACGCAGAGTTGAGATTCGTGGTACATATATACGTATATTCCGACTTACTCAGTCTCACTCCTGAGAACGTGGAATTTGGTGTGGTATACCCATCGCTTCTCTCCCAAATACCTTTGTATCCAAGAACATGCAAAAATCATAATCAAGGGGATCTATCTTTAACAATGATTGCATCGGACTGTGGTTGAGGTGTTTATAACAACTCCTCTATATGTTGTCGTTTTTTGCCTCATGTCTACACCAGAATCAGTTCTATACAAGAGAGGGCTTACAGTAATTGTTCTATTCTAAAATTGGTCTTTCTTCTTTCAAAATTAGTCGTTTCAACTAAATTATTTTCCCCCTTATTTTGTGTGAATTTATTTTCATAACTTTATTTGTGATACAATGTCAATTTTTATTTTCAATATTTGGAAAAATAGCGATTTTAATATCAGTAGGTCAAAATTACATCTAGAACAGTTGCTTCTGGTTGCATCGACATGTATTTAGTTCCCTTACTAAATCATCTGCAGTCTTTTATACACTAAGTAGCAAAGGGCTGATACCCATCCATACAAGGGTAAACAGGATAGCGGTCCATTAGCCCTCGTCACATCAGTATTTGGAAGGTATAGGCAAGGTATTGTATTTATTACTCATTACAAAAATTATTATATACACCACTTACACTCGATAGAAGCCAGGATGTACACGCCTCGAGGAGCAAACATGGAGACGACATTCTCGGAGGGATTTTTCGTGAAGAGTTCGGACGCCCAGGCGTTTTCGTCGATCAAGTCGACAACATCTAAATGTTAAACGAACAGAAGAAATAATGATCGTCTTTAACTTTAAAATTTTTTCTTCAAAAAATCCCCAGTGATTGGATTTATTGTGTCAATGTAAAGGAAAGTCAAATTAAAAATCTAAAAATTAGATTCTGATTATCTTTTTTTAAATAAATAGTGGTCAAATTAAGAATGTAATTGTAAAACAATTCTTGTTTGCATGTTGCGTACATATTACATTCCTATAACTTTTACATAGAAAGAACAAAAGAGAAGATATGGCCCCTTTTTGGGCCCTGGTTTGGGAAGTTTCTTAGATCAATGTTATGGTTCATAAACCAAAACTTGGTGTAATTCTTGTTTCAAAATAAGTACACGTATGGTTAAGTGATAGGATACACAGACGTCAATTTCCGATTTTCAAAATTTGTATTGATTTGTATTGTACAGATTAACAAGTCAGATAAATTAAGATAATTTATAACAAAATCAAAAAAAAAAAAGTTGAAAAGGCCCGGCCGGGGGTATATATCGGGGATGGGGTAGGTGGGTCTTTCTTCAGGTACCTGTGTACGTGTGATTTATGCGATCTGAATTAACATGTGCAAAAAGTAATCAATGATTAAAAACTTAACCCCACCCACCCCACCCACACAAAGTGAAAAAAAAAATAACCTACCACTCCCAGATATTTGATCTCCGAAGGAAAAAACTTAAATAAAAAATACCTTTAGGACTGATTTTGCATTTTGTTCTGATGTAGTCCAGGAAATGTTTGCAGGAACAGTCAGGGTTTACAATTAAATTTTCATTTTCTGAAAAAAAGAGTTATTGATACCTGTATATATGCAGAACTGCATAAAGCTTAATTATTGGGTGACACAATGAAAACTGAAGATAACGAACAATAATCATTCCTTAGTTTTCCCGCGTTTTGGAGAAAAACGGGAAAATGTTGGATAAGTGTTTGAATGGCTATGCGTAATACAAGGTGGAGCCATAGGAAGGCCAGTATAAAGGGCCAGGGGCCCGTTTTACAAAAGAACTTACGACTAAGACCAACTTATAATTCCACTTATTACTTTCTTTGGAACATTAATTTGAAAATGGTTTTAATAGTTTTAAAAAGAATTTAGAAAGATACGTTTATGACATAAATTTTAAATAAAATAATCAATTTTGAAAATTTTTACAATCAATGAAAGTATTTGGTCTTAGTCCTAAGTTCTTCTGTAAAACGGGCCCCAGTGTCGTAAAGTTAAGGTCATTCTAAGCCAGTCCTATGCAGTGCACGGAGCACAATTTTTTAATTTAAAAAGATGATTATATTTTGTATTTAATTATGAATACCGGTAAGTCTGATATTCATGCACCTCTAGACGTTATACTTAACACTTGCGTTCGGACTAGGTTTTTTTCCATAGTTTTTTTTCTCCTCAAATATTCTCTTTTGTTTATGTTTTTTTTTCATGGGCGGTTTTTAACGTCTATTATAGATACATTATATAAAAATTCCTTTATAAATATGTTTCAATTCATGTTTTAGTTAAATAACAAGGATTTCTCAATTTGTTTTGTTATGCACGCATGTATTTGTAATAAAATTATTAAAATTAAGCCAACTGCCTGGAAAGCGTGTCTGCTTCACACCTAAGTTGTGTTGTTGATATGTATACAGGGGGTGGGGGTGAAAACATTCTCAAAATTCCAAATTATAAATGAGCAGGCAAATGGACCTCAGTCTGGAAACAGAGGTGGGATCTGGTCTGTAAAACAGTAAAGATAAGTTAAAAACCTACCTCCATGTTCGACGATGATGAATGTCATGTTTTGTAATCTTACGACGTCACATAACGTCAAAGAATAACGAAATATGACGTCATAAACACTTGACTGGAGATCTACGAAACCGCGTGACACAGCGGTTAGGGTGAGTTCACCATGCATAGGACACATACCACAGGTGCTTGGGGACAGGACCTCCCCTCCCCCCTCCCCCGTTCGACTTTGTTTAAATAAAATATTTTTCTATGACCCATTCACAAAGTATTACAAATGAAAAATCCAAAATATAATCTAAAACTAGCCTTTTATAACAAGTCAAGTCAAGTAAATTTTATTTATAGTCGGCATGTATATACAGTATAACATAATAACATGAGCTATGATAGCTCTTTAACCGACTTCAACAAATTTACATAGATAAAAGTCAGTAAAAGTATACATAGTTAGTAAAAAAACATAATTTAAATAAACCATAGGAAATAAGCACATATACTAGCAATAACAGCAGAAATTGTAATGCACATGTATAACTATCACAAGTAAGAAAGAATCTGACAAAGCACAATACAGAGCACACATTTACTATCACTGATCATGCTAATGGAAAGAATAAAAACTAAAATAAGCAAAGGAGCACAAATAACATTGACATATATGACTATCACAAGTAAGTACAATCACAAAGCACATTTACTAGCATCGATAGAAGAGAAAAACTGAAAACACAAGGAAAGCAACATAGATAGTAATTATACATATGACTAGCATGCATATGGACAATCACAGAACAGGAAAATAAAACAAAACAAAATATAAAACAAATTCATATTAGAAATAAAAAGATACACCACAGATGAACACTTAAAAAGGCTTCTCAGACATAGGCAGCATGGACTGGTGTTTACATAAACTACATTTACATGTCTGATTTCCACACCAAGTAGATATATAGTTTTTAAAAAATTAAAGGATTTTGTGTTCCGAATATCATTAGGAAGAGTATTCCATATCCTTGCTGCCTCATATCTGAAAGAACCTTTTCCTTGTAGTTTTTGGTCTAGGAATATCTGCGGCTTTAGCATACCTAAAATTATATGAATTTTCTCTAATTATAACCAGATCTTGGAGAAAGACTGGACTCTTTTATATAATTTAAAATGTTTCTAATGCCAGCAATCTCATTCTTCTAGTCTTTAGAGAGGGCAATTTGGATCTTTCCAATAATTGTTCATATAAACTTTTATAGTCATTATAAATAAAACGCAACGCTCTTAACTGAACTTTCTCCGTTTCAAAACATTTAGTTGTCTTGCTGCCTTCTTACACATCTCTGAGATATGAGTATTAAAATACCGGTATAGTTTAAAATCAATTGTAATTCCTAAAAGTTTAACTTCATCTTCCCATTTGATGATTACATTTTCCAAGTTAAAAGATATTTGTTGTTTTGGTGTTTTGGACCCAATTGCAATTGCTTGAAATTTTTCAGGATTTGCCTTCATTTTATTAATTGAAAACCATTTAATAAGAGATAAACTGTCCTCTTGTAAAGAATTTATAACATTTTGTAATGTTTTGTAAGATTTTGATAGAGTATTATCATCTGCATAATTATAGAGAATACAGTTTTTAACAAAAAAGAACAGGTCATTAATGAAGATATTGAAAAATACAGGTCCAAGAATGGATCCCTGAGGTACACCTTTCAGAATATCCAGCATTTCACTTAAATGAGAACCAATCTTAACACATTGTTTCCTATTTGATAGATAACTGTTTAACAAATCTAATGTTGGATTGGACAGACCATATACTTTAAGTTTTAGAAGGAGCAGATCATGAGGAAGGCAATCAAAAGTCTTTGATAAATCCATCAACATCGCAGCTATGTATTCGTTATTATCAAGGGCATGTTTCCAGTCTTCGATAACCCGTAAAAGGGTTGATTGGCATCCAAAACCTGGTCTAAAAGCAGCCAAAAATGGGTTTAAAATCTTTTCAAAATAGCCATGCAGACAATTGAATTTCAATGGCTTTTTCAAAAATTTTAGAAATGACAGGGAGCACACTGACAGGTCTGTAATTGTCTTTCATAAGAGCACTATTTTTCTTATGAATAGGTGTAACCTGAGCTTCCTTAAGCTTGTCAGGGAAAGTCGAGGATAATAAGGACAAGTTTATAATATTTGAAATAGGTTTAACTATAACCGATTCTGCTAAATGGAGTAATTTAGATGATATTCCATCAATTCCTGTAGCTTTCTTTACATATATTTTACTGATTCTTTTCTTAACGAAATTTTCGGTCACACTAGTAAAAGAAAAATCTTCTTCAGGTATATTTTAAGGATATGCTTGAATAGCTGCAATACTTGGGTGTTTGTCATCAACTTGCACACTATTTTCTACCATATCTTTGGCAACATTAACAAAATAATTATTAAAAATTTATAACAATCCACTCTCTCTGATACTTAAAAGATAACAAGCTAGGTTGACAACTTCGACTTTCGACTCGTCGATGGGAAATCCTCAAAAAATGAAGATTCATGCATGATTCAAGTTACGAGGGGTGATCAAAAAGTTCGCGAACTAATTGAATAACTTCCATAAAAGAAATGAAATTAGGTTTTAGTGTCCATTATTTTTTTTAAAGTAGTCCTCTCCGATTTAAATCACATAGATCTGCCACAGTTCTGTCCATGCGCAAATCACGTGATACAGGCGGTCACGTGACATGCTCCGAAGCGTTCCGTTCACAGGAAAAGATTTTTTCGAGTCTTATATTTCTTACCATGCAAGTTATTTTTTATAACAAAAACAGTCAACTTGTCAAAAATGGCCAAATGTCGGCAATAGGATGGGTGGATAAGGATATCCTTTCCCGGAATGAGCATGGTGACCATCGCAACCCGAGTTTTCCGTCTTGGGAGCGTCGTTTATCCAATGTGGATATAAGGCAAGGCGCCTTCTTTTTATCATATCTGATATGATTAAATTCTAAAGTAAACGATATTTTAGGGATTTAATACTTCTAACTGTAACTTGGCGGTCTTTCATATCAAATTGCTCAACTATGGACACATCTCTTCCCCAGCTTGCTTTCACTGGGCAAGAGAACAAACATCATTTTTAACCATATCCCTTCTTTTACTAAAACAATCAATCCAATTAATGATTAAACTCCTGGCAAGTCTTTTGTCTTCATAAACTTTGTACAAAGTATTATATGCTATTGCAAAGGAATTTCCAAGATACCCATAAAACTTTACAGCAGTTCGTTGCTCGAGTACGACTGAGTCAATCATTTTTTGTCACAAGTAACCTACCTAATGACGTCATTTTCACATTGTGACGTCACAAACATGGATCAAAACATTACATAAAACTGCTATATATAGAACAAATGTATGACTATATGTGTACCAAATTTCATTCTGATCTGAATTGTGGTTTTGAAAATATAGAGATAGTTCGCGAACTTTTTGATCACCCCTCGTATACATGTATACCGCCTGGAAGTAAAGGTTTCCATATCTTCAGAGAATATTAATTAATCGATACATCGCAAATTTGTGTCCCATTGTGGTTCCAGTCTTGGGAATTTTCATGTTTAACACGCGCAACTCGTCATTTCAATTGTCAAATGGACCTTAATCCCCCACCCCTCACCCAATCCCAACCCTAAAGCAAAATTTGAAGTTAGAAGAATTCTCTTTTCGTGGGGGCTAGCCAAAGATTTTTTTCATCAGCTGTTACGTCCCGTTATCCTCTTTTTAGTGTTAGAGAGAGTGATTTATTTATCTATTTATTTTTTTTTTTATAAAAGGCTAGTTTTAGGTTATATTTTGGATTTTTCAGTTGTAATGACTTTGTAAATGTGTCATAGATAGAGAAATATTTTATTTTTAAAAAGTCGAAGAATCCTTGGGGTACGGAACATGGGGTGAGGGCCTGCTTGACTGGTTAAGTAATAGACTCTTCCATAAACTATTCGGTCATTCATTCAATCGGGTTAGGCCTTCCCTCTCCAATTACATAATATAGAGTCATACCGGAATTTGTTTTTCCGAACTGCCTGACTCAGATGAAAACGAAAGTAGAAATTGGTTTCCAACTAGGAACAGATGACAAAAGCTGTTTCCTATCACTATGGTATCTAAAGAACAACGTACACACATCACCGTTTCTGACAACAACCATGAATACAGGACTGAACCGGTTGCTAAGTACTGTACTTGAGATCTGTAAACTGGGTGCAAGGGCATGGCTTTGATATCTGTAAATTTTATATGAACATGATATCGAAAACTTAACATCAGAGGCACTTAGTCCTCCAATAATATGGATTATATTGACTTTGATTCGCCCAATGTTGGGGTCAGTGATACTCTCATTAGTCCATGGGACCTGATTCTCCACGGACTTTCCGAGGAACTGGACACCGATCAGAGCCTTTTACAAGAAGTATGCCAACGTGCAGTCCAGGACCTGGGGCCAGCATTTGCTGGAATTCAGAATGCTGACGATTTCTTCGCTGCTCTTGAAAACAATCTGAGTAACGACAAAGGTTTAATTCTTGACTATTTGATAGCTTTAGTAGATATTGTTAATTTATACAGACGTCAGGGGACTGAACCATTCAAAGATGTTTTACTGCAATATAAAAACCAGTTAACAAAATACAGAGAAGATTGTGCACGGGTCTCCAAATCTAAGGTTGAGGAATTCATAGGAAGAGAAGCAGACCTTAAAAATATAGAGGAAAATCTGAGAGGAAAAAAATATCAAGGTAATTAGCAAAAATAAATTTTATCATAACAAAAAAAAAAAAAAAAAAGATAATAAAAATTGTCCATAGGTTTTCAAGACCAAGTAGATATTGTGGGGGTGGGTGGAAACCCCTCCCCCCCCCCCCCATTATATTCCCTGTTTATACCATACAGTAGCAAAGCAATGCAAGATAAACTGCCGTTGTGCCCCTCTCAATAATATTTATGATGCCCCATTTCGATTTTTTTTTATTTGTCAGAGGATTTCTAATTGGTTGTCCCCCCCCCCCCCCCAAAAAGCCAAATTTAAAAACAAACTTAAATTGCTTTTTTTTCATTCGGGAATCTAAAAAGTTAACTGAATACATCATGTACATTAGTCAAATGAATTTTGTTCTAAAATTTTAGGCGTTGCAATCTGTGGAATGGGTGGGATTGGAAAAACAAGTCTGGCTACAGAGGTCTGCTACAGACTGCAGCATGCAAGAGAGAAATGGCATGTTGAGACCATAGACATGAGGTAAGTTAGTAGTATTTGTAATTTTGTAAAATCTAAAAGAATTAATAAAAGTTTAATATTTGTTATGTTTCCTCTTGCCATACTGTTTTGATCTATGTGTAAAATCATAGGCACCACATGCAACAAATGAATCTAATTAAAATGAGATCTTTGACCCACTCTAAGTAGATCCTAAGACCATCCTTAAAAAATTGTTTGTTTGGAATTGCCACCTGGGAAGTTTCAGACCCTGGAAGGAGAAAGGGAAATTATTATTTTTTTTTAAATTAAAGTTAAATTAAAAAATTATGATAAAAATCCTAGTAAGCAGTGAGCACATTATTTTCTGCCTTTTTGTAAAGGGTGTCTCCCATCAACAAGGAACCCAGTTTTGCTTAGATCCGACACTCACTTTAAGTGATTGGGTGGCACATGTGATAACTGGCCAAGAATTGATTGAATAAAATAATCTTCTTATTTATGGTTAATAAAATTTTTCCAGGAGGGGTCATTTCAATGAGGCGGGAGGCAATTCCAAACAAACCATAATTTTATTTTGGCCTAAACAATATAGCAATCCAGTTGGTGTGGATCAAAGACTAATTTTAATTACATTGCACATGCAATGAAATTTTTTTGCCCCCCCCCCCCAAAAAAAATAGATATTGTTATTTATATTCTGACCAATGTGATCTCAAATATTTTTTTAGAATGACAGCATTTTGTAGAGAAATTAATTGTTTACCTGTGCATTACCCTTGGATATTTTGACGAGTCATTCAGATTCTGTGTGCCTCTTTTTCAGAGAGAAGGAAGATTTGGTAGACTTACTGCGAGATCTGGTTACTGCAGTAGGGCAGGAATGTAACAGTGCAGAAGTTGTAGACCTGTACTCAGAATTAATCACAGGACTGAGAGGATTGAAAGCCAGTAAAAAATTTAAAATACTAGTATATACTTAACATAAAGTAAATGCAGGAAGGGTATTTCTTTCTCAGTGTAATCTGGCTGCATCAGTTGCCATGGGACTTATAGCTTTGTTAGAAGAACATTTGCTCCAATGTTTAAGATTCAGATCTTTATCAGATATCTATATTTTTCACCAGGTTCACTTACTGCAAATGCCTGAAACAAAGAGGCTATAAATCCTCCATACCAGAGCCTACATTGTGTGTTAGAGAGGGGGATGTTGATATTCTTTTTGGATTAGATGCATTTGAACCCAGAGGTTCATTTTAGAAAGCAATCACATAATTACAGGCGCGGATCCAGGAATTTTTTTCCAGGAAGGGTCCATCTAAGTAAAAAAAAACTTTCAACCCAAAAATTCCTTGACAAACTATATTCCCTTCCCAAACGTATTAAACCCAGAAATATTCTTGACAAGCAAAAAAACAAAAAACAAAAAACAAAACAAAAACAAACCTAAAATCCATTTCTCAAAGGTGCAAAACACCTATTTTGTGGTGGTGTTGGTGGGGTCCACATTTTCTGGGGGGGGGGGGATCCAAAGTTATTTTTTTCTTTCCTTCAGTATATACATTTAATAACTCTGCAAATTCCAGGGAGGGTCCATACCCCCCCCCCCCCAACCCCCCCAACCCCCTAGATCCGTGCATGAATTAGTACAGTTCAGGGTTTGAATCATTATCATATTCCTACATTGTCATATTTAGTGATTGCTTATCTATGTAGTTTAGATTTACAAAGGTGCAACTGAAGACAATTTGAAAATTTCTGAATGTATCATTAAACAATCGCAATGCTGAGTAATTTAATAACATGGCTTGGAATGATTCTTACATAAATGGAGTTAAAAATCACACTAACATACTGCTAATTTAATGATGATAGTAAAGTAATAATATTTTTCTTGCCAGAAAAATATTTCTTAAATACCATATAGGGTGTCCAGTAAACTGAATTTTAAGTTGTGCTACAGATCTAAACTTCGTTATCATATTTGATCAAAACTAAACAAAGTTCATGAATTTTCAGGTCTAAAAATCTTTGTGTATAATTTTATTCCAGTAATTTTCCAAGTTTTTCCATGAATTATATTACAAGGCTCTCTGTATCTTTTTATTAAAATGGGTACAATTCTAATTCAAAAGTAATTTTTGTACCGGTACCCTTGAGAATGTGGAGCATATTCAAGCACATGTTATCGTACTAGAATTATACAACATTATTATTTTTTAATCAATTTTTTCCACATCTTTAAATTCTAGGGACAATTTTCTTCATGGATAACCTGGATGATATGATGAAAAGCAGTGAAAGAAAGGAGCAGTTGCTGAAATTTTTGGAAAAATTCAGTCTTGATACAAAAGTACTAGATACCAAGGTAGCCAATGTAATTTATTAGCAAATATAATATGCTCAGCTACACGTGCAGTAAAACAGGCTTAGCAGAGTGCCCGAGACTAACAATTCTAATTCGTTATAAATATTTTTTGTTTTCTCAGTTTAGTGCATAAATGAGCTCTTTGGCATTGTTTTCTATTTATAGCATATTTTGGCAAAATTATCAAGAAAAGGGGGTGGGGTGGGGGTGGGGAGCAGCCCTATAGAATGGGCCAGTATTTGTAACATACAAGGCAAACAAAGTTGTAAAGAAAATTCTTCTTTAATGTACATTTTCATAAACAAAGCAATTATCATTTTAACATGAATTGTATTGCAGGAAGACTGGTAGTTTCAACTTCTCATGCTTTGTTGATATTGAAATTGTGCAATGCAAGGGAGGATTTCCCAGTGATAATAAATATATATGTATATTCATATCGCTACAATTGATTTTGTTTAAGGTGCTTAACCCCCTTCCTATATATATTAGGAATGGCAATTTGTAATCGGTTAACCGGTTACTGGTTGGAACGATGGTAATCGGTTAGAAAATTTGTAATCGGTTAGTCAGAAAAAATTAATATATGTGTAAATTTGAGTACAATTTCCTGAAAATTCAATTAAGAAATACAATTGAAATGTTAGCATTTTCACCTATCTTTTTAAGCTGATTTAGAGGTGATAAAGGCTCTCTTGATTGATATCATGCCTCTCCCCATGGTTATAAAGTTTGTGAAACTTTACTAATCACAGAATATCTCCAAAATTTCTCCAGTGAAAACATTTCCATGTTTTTAGTACTGTACTTTGAAAATTGCTAGAAAGCGATTCCCTGCTTCAAGAGACTACCTGTCATATGTGACAATTTTAGAATTTCCCTTGATAGGTCACTTAATACATGTTTTACTGTAAATATTATTTACCCAGGGTCAAGGTTATTAATATATAGAGTGGTTTTGAAGTCATATTACAAAGTTATTTCTGCTACAGCTTTCAAACTCTGATTGAATGATTTAAATCACAAGTTTTATAACTTGTTGTTCATGGCCCAAAATTGTGTCATTATTTAGATCCAAGGTCATCAAGGCTGATTTTTGTTAAGAAATCAAAATTATCTAGAACTAAGATGTGTTTATATGCCCACAGGTTCGAATATTGCTGACTGTGCGACAAAAATTGGTTACTGAGGAGAAACTGAATGTGTCAACATTTATCAGAAAGATATCCAGAAGTGCTGAAAGACTTGGTCAGTTGTTTGAAGTAGAACTACAAAGACTGAATCAACAGGAAGGTGTTTTACTGTTCAAAGCTTGTTGTAGAAGACCATTTACAGTAAGTGAAGTTACAGTTTAAAGATCAGACTGTTTGGTACATAGTAAAGAAATTAACTGAAAGATAAGTAACTCTGCAGCCAAAATGATAGATCATTCAAATGATATTGTGTATATATAGTAAAAACAGTTACAAGGCAGTTTACTACAATTAAAGTTTAAATGTCAGTATACTACCCAGAGGATATTCAATGTTTTGTAGTTGGATGTGGAATTTATTTCACGAGTGGGGCAGGATATGTTCACGAGTGCGAAGAAGCAGGAGTGAAAATGAAAAAAGAATTGTCTCAGAATTGTTTCAACTACAAAACATTGAATGTTCTGTTTATTATATTTTCTTTGATTTTCCCTTTACCTTCCTTTTTTCATAACATGGTGTCATAGGCTCTGACGTCATACTTGAGTGCTTGTGAGACAAATGTGAGATTGAAAATAGTAAACATGGATTTTAACAACAATTAAGAGAAACCTTTGGCAGTTTTGGTATTTGTTAGCATGGTTTATTTACTCTCACTATCTTTTAACAGGATAGGTAGCATTTTTGTAATACTCTTTGTGAAGGAAAAGAAAATAAAAAATTTTGCTGCACCATTGATATTTCTCCACGATGTGAAAAATATTGCTTTTATTTAATAAATAAATTCAGTATTTTACTGTTGAAAATGTAATAAAATGTTATACTTGACTATTTGTCTTGTTTAGAATTTCAGAGCAATTAATTTAAGGGAAGTTGGTAAGATTCTTTACTCCATAAACATTTGACTCAAAGCTGATTTTACCTCATGTTTCAGGCTCCCCCTGAAAACGAGGTCTGTCGGAAGATTGTAGATTTATGTGGAGGAAGTCCACTGGCCATCAAATCTGTTGGGGCAGCTGTCAGAAGTGGGAAGGTTAATCCTGAAATGTTGGCCCAAAAGCTCGAAAAAGATTTCCCAGGTCTGAAAATGGAAAGTAAATGTCTCACTCAAACATTTGAAACCTTAGACAAACTGAAAAAAGATATCATGGTAAAGTTACATGTGTTTGGGACAGCTAAGTTTGACTTGGCCTGTGCAGCTTTTGTGTTAGGTGAGGACACTTTGAAGTATGAAAACCCAATTACTGCAATCACCAATGCAAATTTGATATATCTGAAGAGCCGCCATTTTGTAGAGGTTGATGACTTGACCAAAATGGAGAATGAAGATATTCAAACAGAATCAAAGAGTGTAAAATTTTCTCTACATCCATTAGTCCATGAATTTCTCTCTCAAATTGCAAATAATGAAATGTTTAAACAAGCAGATAATGAGGCAAAATGTTTGTTCATTGAGTATGTAGAGAAGAAAAACAGTGACATTTTTGAGAAATTTGAGAAAAACTGTGTGAAGGCATGGAAAGATTTGAAAGACTTCAAGGTTCATTTGAAAACATACTATGACTTGATCCAAAACATAACCCCTGATTTTCTTAAATTAAGGAAGAGTTCAAGATCAATATTGACTTGTAAAAGAATATCAGAAGTGGCAGATCTATTTCTTGAAGATTACGTTAAGTTTAAGCTGCTTGAAAAATTCATTGAGCAGTCAAAGTCAAGGGGTGATTTCTTGGAAACTGCGTTATGGCAGGTACATCTGGGAAGAAAATTTTTTGAAAGTGACAGAAATGAAATAGCTGAAAATATTCTCAACTGTATTCTAACAGAAACATTACCCAGTTTTCCCCTGGAATATGGAAGTCTTGGTCCATTTGTTGAAGTAGCAGGTGCAACTTTTTATTTTGCTGGAAAGCTATGTCTCAAAGACAGAAAATATTCCGAGGCACTAGTCTACTTCGAAAATGCTAAGCAACTTTGGGCTAACAAACTAGAGAAGACCGTGAGAAACAAATACAGTATTGATCTAGCATTGGTGTACAATTCTTTAGGAAAAGTGCATGCAAATCTAACACCACCAAATCTTCAAAAATCAAAATACAATCACTTGAAGGCATTTCGTATTGCATACAAAAAGTCTGAAAACTTCAACAACATTGATATTCCTCTGTATATTCACAATATCGGGAGATGTTTTTACAGAGAAGGAAATGAAAATGAGACAAGAAGCAAAAAAGATGAAGCCAAGCAATGCTTCAGAGATGCAGAGAATTATTACAAACAGGCTATGAAACTGTTCAGACATTTTAAAATGGAAAAGTTTGACAGCTTTGCAGAAGTGCAGCGATCCCTAGCTTTTGCAGAGATGAAGTTGAGGGAGATGGGATTAGCTGAGGATGACATAGTAAAGGCTTATGAGTTGAGAAAGTTGGTCATGTCCCCTCCCCATGAAGCCATCACCACCACAGTGCATGATGTAGCCACAATAAGGATAGAAAGGGCCATTTATCTTTACTGGGAGTACTTTCAGAAAAAAATAGGAGACAAATGTAAGAATTTTTGTTTATTACATATTTTTTTGTGTAGTTTACCTCATAAAAATTGAATAATGCATCCATATATGGGTGTATACCATGGTTACCAGCAGACATGCTCCATATGCAGCATCTGGTGCATTTCGTGGACAATTTAACAGGTTAGAATTCAGGGATCAGGTTCATTACCAAGAAACTATATATAGCCTACCTGGGCCAAATTTGCATGGATATTGCATCCAAGGATACACACTTCAAGACATTCTTTGAAATGTCTGCGTCTGATATATATTTTTTGGATGATTAAACAGGTTAAAAGTTTTTGGAGCAGGTTTACTCTTAAGTAAAAGTATAAGCTCTACTCAAACCAAACTTGCATGAACATTGCCTCTAGGGATGCACACTTAAAAAATTCAGTTGATGTGGAATATTGCATAACATCTTTATTTTCCTGAGACTGTAAATGCCTGAAAATGATTTTGTGAGGAGTGAACAGACAGACAGTCATGGTAAATCAGAAATTCTCCTCTCATGGGGGGAACATAATAATTTTAAAAGTATATGTTGCCAAGTTGTAATTTTTTTAAACATAAAATTTTATTGGTCAGTGTTTCAATCAGAGAATCTTTTGGCAAGGGAATTTTTTTTAGAATGGCATATATTTTTGAATTGCAGATGAGCCCATTAACAAGTTATATGAGGCCATTGCAGACTATGAACATGTGATGCATTTAACAAAACTTGGAGGTCTGCCCATGGATCATCCAGAATACCAACACATAAAGAATAACCATATCTGGGCTCTGACACAGGTCAAAGAAAACAAGAAAATAGCCAAAGCTGTCCAGTTCTATAAGGTCAGAATGTTGATAAAGATCCAAATCAAAAGTTAATTTCCATTAAGATGATGTTTCCAGCAAGTAATATATTTAAATTTGTTGAAAAAAGGTGAAGATAATGAATAGTGAAAATTAATAAACACAAATCTGTGAACAGGGCATAAAACATGGACCCCTGGAAGTTCCGGGATCAGGTTCCTAGGAAGAATAGACATCCACTGTCGACCAGTCACACCCGCTGTGAGCCCTAAGCATTGATCAGATAAACGGAATATTCGGTAGTCAAGTGTAAGAACAAGATGTGTTTGTAAAACACTGATGCCCCCATATAGCAACTTATAGCGAAGGTTAAACTTTCTCAAATGCAAATGAAATATGTTGGTACCCAAAGTAAGGTCTTGTCTCAAGGAATATACCTGTGATGGAAGTCCTAGCAGCAACCGTTGAAAAGATATGGAAAAGGTTAAAGTTTTTCAAAAGTAAGTCAAACATCAAGGTCAAATGGTCAAAAGTAATAGTCACCATAGAAAAGGCCTTCTCACAAGAAATAGACATGTGAAATATGAAAACCCTAGCACCAACTGTTCAAAAGATATGGCCAAGGTTAAAGTTTTTCAAAAGTATTCAAACACCAAGGTCAAGGTCAAAGGGTCAAAGTTGTTGATATCCAAAGGAAGGTCTTGTCACAAAAATTACATATGTGAAGTAGGAAAGCCCTAGCACCAACCGTTCAAAAGTTATGGCTAAGATTAAAGTTTTTTTCAAAAGTAAGTCAAACTCCTAGGTCAATGTTAAAGGGTCAAAGTTGTTGGTATCTAAAGGAAGGGCTTGTCACAAAGATTACACATGTGAAGTATGAAAGCCCTAGCACCAAATGTTTAAAAGTTATGGCCAAAGTTAAAGTTTTCCAAAAATAGGTCAAACTCCAAGGTCAAGGTCAAAAGTTTAAAGTTGTTGGTATCCAAAGGAAGGTCTTAACACAGGGATTGCACATGTGAAGTAGCCTTAGCACCAACTGTTCAAAAGTCATGGCCAAGGTTAAAGTTGGGTAAAATTTTGAAAACTGGGTCAAATCCCAAGGTTAGAAGGTCAAATATGGTACCCAAAGAAAGGTCTTGTCACAACAAAATACACATGTGAAATATGAAAGCTATAGCTCCAATAGGGCTGGGACGATATATCGAGATATCGATAATATCGATTCAATGTGAGGATGATACGCATATCGATACGTATGAAGAAATATCGACATATCGCCCAAAAAAATCTGACTCATGTTTTTCTTTGTTTACTTAACATTTTGGGTTTAATATCTTAAATAAATTTGCTTAATTTAAATATAAATATGAAATACACAATAATTAAGATCACTTGTGCAAAATAATTAAGTTTTACAACAGATATACAATTTCTTTGAATAATTTATTCTTATTTGCGAAGAAATGTTTTGTTCATTTCAATATAAAAAAAGAAGTTATAACCAATTAAACATATCGTGATACATATCGTATCGTGGCTCAAATATCGGGATACGTATCGATATAGAAAAAGTTGTATCGTCCCAGAACTAGGCTCCAACCACTCAGAAGATATGAGCAATATTAACGTTTTTTCGGACAAACAGATAAACAGACAAACAGACAGAAGGAAGGACGGACAGGGCAAAAACTTTATACCCCCAAATCTTCGATACAGGGGCATAACAAGGGCCTAACAATTGGTATGAAAAACATCAGCCAAAATACTATCCAATGATAGATTATATTTGCTCAAAAGGTTGTTATAACGACCATAGAATTTACCAATGAGGTTATTGAAATCCCTGTAATGTCAGCTCAAATTGATCGAACTTGGAGCATGTTCTTGAGTTTCCAATAAGTTGGGAGATGTAAACCCCAATTGCAGGTGATAGCCAAATATTACTACATGAATAGGAAAGTTGACGATGGAAAACCTGAAGTCAACTCTTTTGTCATACAATTTGGTTGTTAGTTGGCCCTTATTGTCTATAGTCAATAAAGCATCCAAATATGAAACAGATGTGGCAGACTCTGTGGTGTCTTTTATTTCAAGTTCACTGGGATATATCGAAACAATATAAGAATGGAAATAACTATTGTTAATTAATAAAACGCTGTCAATATATCTGAATGTCAAATTGAAGGCCACAGAAAGTGTTTTTGTTGTCTTCTCATGTAGAAGTTGTTGAATAGATTCTGCTTCATAAGAATATAAAAACAGTTTGACTAACAAAGGAGTACAATTAGTGCCCGTTGAAATTCCAACAAATTTCAATTTCAATTACCGTGTTTCCATGTGGTCTTTCAGTTCGGAATTTGCAAATATGAAGGAATCATGGACTGATCCCGGCCATTTACAAACAATGTTTGTGAACCTAACGATAAGAAATTAATAATCATCATCATGCATCAACTATTTATGTAATACAAACATTGGAATTCATTGAATACATGTAAACAGTATATTAACAATATGAATTATCTATATGAACTGATATTGACACTCGGTTTTTACAAGATAAATGCTATTTAGATGGTGTCTTCCGACTTAGCCAAAATTCTGAAATTGTTACAGGTGACTGGTTTTGGCTAGATGGGAATGGTGTACAGGTAAGGGGAGGGAGAGAACAAAAGAAATTAATTACAGGTGACCTATAGTCTGTTTTAGGTTACCAAAGAAAGTTTTAAAATGATACAAAAAAAAAATAATAATAATGCGATGAAGGGTAAATGAAAAAAAAAAATTGAATAAATTAGTGTCAATTTTAAATAAATACATTTAAGTACAGTTGTAGCGTTTTTCTTGCACGAACCTTAGAGAGGCATCCGCCACCACTTGCACGTTCATGGCATGAAAGCCTTTTCGACACACTTATTCAGGCTCGTTTTCTTTGGGAGCCATAATGGGTATTAGAGTGCCATCGATGGCCCCAATAACATTAGGAAACCCCGCTATTTGATAAAAATGGTGCTTGGTGACTAAAGCCTCATTCGCTGAAATATAAAAGTATGAATAGAAATATATTGGAAATATATGCAAGAAATTTCTTTTTCATGCATGAAAATGGGACCTATAATTCGTGACATAATCATAAATCATCCTCAATCTGTTTCTTATCATTGTTTCATTATTTAAAAATTTTCGGGATTCTTTAAAATTTTATGTTATACAGGCACATCATTGGGGAGGGGGGGGGGGCTCTGCCCATTCACATTGTTGAGAATATTGTGTTGTTATTAAAGTTTGAGAATTGTAACTAAATGGCTATGTACACCTTTGTTGCAGATTGATGAAATATTTCTTTTTTAATTTAGTAGAGTTGGACCCCCTTTCCAATGCGTTTTCCTATTTTGGTATTTTTATTAGCTCACCTGAGCTGAAAGCTCAAGTGAGCTTTTCTGATCACCCGTTGTCCGTCCGTCCGTCTGTCCGTCCGCCTGTCAAATCATGACCCCCGCGGGTAGGGTGGGGCCACAATAGGGAATCAAAGTTTTACATAGAAAATTAATATCTTCAAAATTCTTCTTCTCAGAAAAGCTGAAACTTATGTGGAAGCATCCTGGTGTAGTGTATATTCTAAATTGTTAAAATCATGACCCCTGGGGGTAGGGCGGGGCCACAATAGGGAATTCAAGTTTTACATTGAAATATGTAGTAAAATCTGCTTCTGAAGAACCACTGGGCCAGAAAAGCTGAAACTTATGTGGAAGCATCCTGTTGGTTAGTGTAGATTCTAAATTGTTCATATCATGACCACGGGGGGGGGGGGGGGATGTAGGGCGAGGCCACAAAAGGTATAACAATGTAGGAAATCAGGTGAAGAACAGCAGGGACAAAGTTATTCAGGTGAGCGTTGTGGCCCATGGGCCTCTTGTTTATTTGCTTGTCGAAGTTTTTCGGGTATTTGTCAATTATTTTTTCCTATCCCCACTTTACTTTGAAAAACCATTTATATAAATTTTATGAGGGGACATTTTTAAAAAGATATTTAGTTCCGAAGAGGTTAATTTGTCGGCCATTTAGCATGTGTAGCCTAGTTGTTTTCAGATCCCTCGGGCGGAACGTTAAATCCGTGTTTGTATCTTTAAAATAAGAAATCCATATATATATTTTATACATTCGCCATTTTCACAGTATTCGTGCTAATTGTGTTGCACTTGGACCAAAAATATAACAAGTCATACAGCACGTTATTGACGTGTTTTCTAGAAAGTTCAATACCTCTGCACGTGAGTCCCAAATTTTTTTTATATAAGCATTCTTATGAAAAAGTTATGTGAAGTCAAATTTTGAGCGAGACCTTGTGTTGCGGACACTACATTACACCTGTTATATCAAAATAAAATATTAAAGATATTTATTTATTTATTCCAAACTTCTTGCAGGTTTCGATTATGTATCTGATTGCAGTGAAATAAAAGAAAAATGTTATGGTTCTCTTTGAAAACAAAAATTTTATTCACATTAATGACTTGCTAATATTTTGCCTAATTTATCTCCCATCCTTAAGTTTACCTACCTTTATAATTACACATAAAACCTATATAATCATCATGTGAAAATTAAATTGAATGATTCTAAATTTCAAATACACTTGTCATAACATCCAGGATATCTTTGGTTGCATCTTGTCTAGCTTTGAAAATGCATGGCATTTTTGTTGCGGACACTACAAGTAACCATAAGAATAATCTTTTGTCATTTTTATAAAAATAATTGTTGATAAATGTTCATTTCTAGGCTGAATTACATACCACAGGATCAACTCTTGAAAAACATATTTTTTTTTTTATAATTGCAAGTTCAAACAGTAGAATTATATAAAATTTCATAACGTATCTGCATTTTCACATATTTCAACATAATTTCGCTAATATTTTGTTGATTTACATAAAGTAAATTGCATATAAAAGAGGGATAATTTCACAATGATTTGACATCTATGACTAAGAGTTTCTATTGTAAATCTCCTGAAACAAAAACTGGATAACAAAGCC